AGGCTGAGAAGAAGAAGGACAAGCCGCGCGGACCTCCGCCCTCATCGCAAAAATCGCCCAAAGCCAACGGCAAAGCGGGCTATACACCCAAGTTGAGCGAAGAGCAGAAATCGCTGCAGGGTCGCGCGCGCTCTATGTTGGGCAAAGTCGCAAAGGCGCAGACAAAGGAGGGTTTTGTATTTGAGGGTCACAGAGCGAGTGAGAGGCAGGGTAAGAGTGGCCTCAAGTTCAAGGGCAGCGGCGGAGGCAAGAAAAAGGGTCCGAACGGCCGTAAAAGTAGGAGTGCGGGGTGGAAGAAATCCGGTGGGAAGAAGTAAGACGGGTTTCTCACAAAGCATCTTCAGCATCAACCCCCTTTTGCTTTTCTTTTTAATCTTCTTTGCTCGAACCGATTGCTGCGCAGCTTGTAGCCTTGGAAAGCATTTTTGCTACGCACAATGTGCTTACATATATGCATAGACTTGTACAAGCCACATCATGTCTGTTCAAGTGACAATACAGGTGTGTAGAACAATTATGGGTGCTGAACTGTCCTCTTCTTTGCACCTACATGTATGAACAGTGGAGATTGGCCTTCCATTTCACAAGTTCAATTCCAAATGCTCGGCCAGTGACGTGCTTATGCTGCAATTGCCGTTTGCAGGAAGAGAAGGAGAACGTGGAGCCGGTGAGTTGACACCTAAAATGAAACGTGACCCTGTCATCATATGATCGGAGACGCCGGCATACCCGTGGAATGCATAGAGTGTAACAGATGGCGTATAGCCATGCTGGTAATATGGTGTGTAATTGATGGTAATTAGTTTTGCTGACCGTCAAGTGTGCTCCCCGTGGTAAGGATTATGAGTGCCTAGCGCATGGCCCTGCTACAAAAAGTAAGATTTAGGTTTGCATGCTTATTGGTGGACAACAAGGCACCAGTGATAGTTGGATAGGATGACGTTGCACGACCCTGGTCAATTGGCCTGACGGTGCGAGCCGAAGGTTTGGTGGCCGAGTTGACGGGCTGTCGTTGCTGCCACGGTGCGAGACTGGCTGTTTCTGAGAATTTGGAACACATTTGGGCTACGAGCTTGAACGTCTGGGGGATCGACGAAGCAAAACTTTAATTGCACATCAATCAACACAAGAGCGGCAAACAAGCGGTAGGATCAAAGTCGAAACAAGCGTGTGAGAGTGTGCAGCGGTCGAGATTCATCCATAGCACCCGGTCATACAACTAGCCGTCGTAGTAGATGTGTTTATTCGGGAAGTTTGGCTGGCGACAAGGCCCGATCTGAGGACACAGGCGTTTCGACCGCAACCGAACTAGGCACACTTGGAGCTGTAGGTCTGACAGGGTCCATTGAGGGTAAATCCTGCAGTTGGTTGCCCAAGTCATATATTTCCAAAACCTGGATGAGTTAGGGAGGGTAATACAGAGCGGCGAAGACTGAGTGTAGCATATGGCACAGAGCTAGGCATTGCCGAGTTTCCCACAATCATGTGTTCTGTGTACAGGGCGGTTCTCGCGTGCCGGCACAGCAGCTTGTGGTAACCTTGGACGGACGCGTGGGTAGGTGTGGGTGGAAGGGTTATGCAAGTCAGCGGAAGATGTAACCCCAACAGAACAATGCGATGATCAATAGCCATTGATACGCTGCATGCTGTGGGTAAGCAAGGCTGACAGATATCTAACCGAAGTGGACCGATGCCATTGGGGTCCATGGATTCGCATGTAGCACAGACACAGATGTTGCGACGCCTGGAAACAGAGGCATGTGTTTGACCATGTGGAACTTGCGGAGATGATGTGCAGGATGCAGATGGGGATTGCGGCATGGTATTCGTCCGTCTCCCATGATGTGCCCACGTCAATGGTAAGTAGGTGTGATTTGGGCAATGATGAGGCTTGTGCTTGTGTGTCGCCAAGGATCATGGCACGTTGCTGCTCTTGCAGCGAGTGTGTAGTGGTTGCATGCTGCTATGGAGTAGTTATGACTTTGATGTTTAGCCGGCGGAGGAAGCACGTGTTTTGGTGAAAGCGCCGAATTGTGAAAAGAAAAGGGTGACCTCACAATGCGGCAGGACCATGGCGGCGGTGCCGAGACGGAAGCTTTGAACGACGCCGCCAAAGTATGACACAGAAGATGTCAGTGGCTGATGAAAGTGCTGTCGGCCTTGAAACGCGCTTCTAGGCCGACGGACGAGCAGAGAAAACCAGGGACTGATGCGTGAGAAGAGCACGTCCGTTACTGGGAGTGCTGAGGCGTTGGGTGGCGCAAGTGGAGAGTGCGCGGCAGGATGCGAAGCGTTTGCGCGCAAGCGTATTGGACAGAGGGGGCCAAAGAATGTTTGCATTCGCGCCCGATTGTGCAGGTGTGAGGATAATGTGACCTGGATGCACGTGCACTAGCGTTGGGACCCAAGCAATGTATGTATGTGTGTATGTACTGTCCGAGCGAAGGCCAGCAGGCACAGTTGACTAGTATGTAGAGCAGTGTTATGCGATGCTGCTCGACACGGCGGAGCAGCGCTAGGCCAGGTCGCAGCAAAGGCAGCGCTGAGACACGGAGATGCGGACGAGACACGAGCTGAGCCAATGGGAGCCGGCAGGCGGTTCTACACACACCGAGCGCGCAAAAGACACCACAGGCGCGAGGCGGCGCGTCGGTAGGCGGGGGGACAGAGGCACTGCGGCGGAGGAACGGGCTCTACGGGCTCCACGGGAGGAGGGTACCTGCGCAAATCACGGCCGGGTGCGCTGCCGCTCTCGGAGGCATACGCGTCTGAGGTTGAAGGACGGCGGCTGTGGAGCATGAGCGTCTGTCCAAAGTTTGGTATCACGACACATTGGCGGCGGATTTGTCACGAGGGTGATGCTGTTGAATGTCTCGATACTGGAGAAGCGCCTTGGGCTGCGCGGGCGAGGGCAGGCGGGAGTGCATATGTGTGGCGCGCTAGTCCGCGTTGGGGCATCTAAAGCTCTCTTGCTCTAGCTGGCTGGGGGGCGGAACCGATTTTCAGGCCGCGGGCCAATGGATGGGCGGTGGCAGCAGAGGGGAAAGCGCCGTTGGCTGCGCGCCGGGGTTTTTTGCTGCCTGTGGGACTGTGATTTGGCTGGGTGCGGAAATGCCAGCCAGGCCACCAATGCGCGTCGAGAGGAATGGTAATGTGCGCGCAGGGCGAGACAGAGGCAGAGAAGGGCGACTGTGGGAGAGGCGGCGACTGCGTGGGCGGCTGGCGATGATGCCGGCACCGACGCGGATGGACATGGGCAGGATGGGGGTGCTGATGATGATGATGCTACTGCTGCTGGGGCGGACGCAAGCGACGCACCGCCGCTCGTAGTAGCTCACCGCCGCTGCTGCTGGCCGCGTATTGCTTCTGTGGACGTCATGTTGGTACGCCGCTGGTCTCTTCCCCTGACGACGGCGCATTCACTCATACATACTACATAAATGCATTCACAGACAACTATGTGTACACACATCCATAGTCGTCGCGGGCTCAGCCGGGCGGCAGGCTGCGGGCTACCGGGGGGGCTGCTGTCATGGCCACTGCTCATCACATCCCATCCTGCCCATCCTCCCTCTCCCCCCCCCTCCCCCAGGCGAGCAAGTGGGCGGACGGGCAGGGTGACGCGCAAAATGCAGCTGGTGGCTGACTGTCATAGGGTGATCCCGGCATGCCCTCTAGCGCACCAAGCTTGCGTTTCGCGAATAGAAATCCCCGCCGGCCGCTCCAAATCAAACCTTTGATTCCTCATTCTCCAATCATCCAGCCTGCTCCCTCCCCCCATATCGCCCATTGCACTACAGCGCTTGTGTCCTTGACCGTACCCGCCCGAGCGCTGCCGCTTAGTGTTCCCTCGCACGCCTCGGTCAGACAGCACCCTACAAGACAAGACCATTCTACACCCCACAGACACTCTGCCCTCCAGCAAATCAACGCGACTCGTCAGTCTTCCAGCCACTGACCACTCGCAACCCTCCGCAACCCGTCCACCGCATAGATCACGGGATCGCATTTCGCTGCGAGTTCAAAGCATCGGTAAGTCAGTCCTATCATTGCGCCCTGATCTGCTGCAACGCGCTCCCTTGTTTTTGTCGTGTGAGCGCGTACCGCCCGCCGCCAACTTCGCATGCCGCCGCCGCTTCTCCAGGCACGAGAGGTTGCGTCCGTCTCTCTGTCGACGGCGGCCATGCCTGGTCGCAGCGCAGCGCATCGCACTCTCATCCACACAACGCCACACGATCCGCACCTGTTGCTTCGGCGCTGCATCGTCACAGGCTCATCTCCTGTTGATGCTTCCCTGGCATTATGACGCGTTGCGCCTTGCTCAGCTCGCCTGCCCGACCCGCTCCATCTCCACTCTGCCTGTCCATCGGCTTACATCGCATTAGACAAAGGCACCACCACCACCGCGCTGCGCATTCATAGTCTTGTATCCCGCTCTCTGCCTGCTACTTGGCTCACGCCTCTGCTCTCATTGCTGTTGCTGCTACCCAAGGTGTCAGCTGCACACCTCAATATAGAGCTGCGCCGTCGCTGGTTGCCCTAGCTCTCAGAGCCGCAAAAGTGAACCAGTCCATCTTGTCCCCGCTACGCCCCTGCAATCCGACCGCACGCGCGATTGAGAGACGCGCATGTGCTGTGCTGCCGCTGATTAAAGTCGGTAAGTGCCTCACCGTCATGCATGCATACACCTGCATTGCCAACGCATCGCCTCCAATCGCCCGCCCCGCCAGCACATGCCACCCTCGACATCCTCCAATTGCCCAAGCATCTGCGTCCTGAGCTAGCTGACGGTTACTCTTAACAGTGTAGACAGTTCTCTGCTTCATTTATGACTGGTGAATACCTGCAACGGCTCTTTCCCCACTACGGCGCGGCCCTCTAGAGCGCGTCGTCAACCTCACCGAGAGAAGCCCCTCTGCCCAGCACGAGCGCATAGCCCCACGACGCTCAATTGCGCCTCAAAGCCTCAGCAGCTTACAACCGTGCGCTATAGCAAAGTCGCCTCAGTTAAGCGTGGCCATTGACAACGCATCAAGCATCCGCCCTGCCGCGACGTGACCCAGCGTTCCCGTTTTGCGCGCCTAGATACTGTGATCCTCCCGACATCTCGCCTCTAAACAGCAAACAAGCCTACCTCGGACGCTTCTTTGAATACTCTATTCAGCTACTCGAAGCTGAGCTGCATTGATCCACATAAGACCCCAGCCAGCATCCTATCCACTCTCTCCAAAGTCCCGGGACTATACACCTAGGCCCTGTGGTGATCTCATCTCACCTCTAGGCTCCCACACCAGTCGCATTGCTTCTTGGACTGCACGCGAACCCTCCGCGCCCAACTCCCCCAATTATCACCTTTGGTACTGCACCGTTCTTCCGCCGTTGTCGGTTTGTGTATTACCCAGGGTGCGCTAAGCTTGAGCACGGGCCTGTAATACTCGACGTCAAAACCACCGACAGCCTCGTTCGCCCAACATCACCAACATCGCCATCATGACCGAATACGCACAGTTTCAACAATCCCATCACGGACACGCGCCCGCGCACATTCAGAGCTACGGCACCAATCAGAGCCCTGCAGGCGGGAATCCTTCCATAACCTCACCTACGCAGCAGCAGATGCAACAATTCCAGCAGACATCGCCCATCTTGCCGTCACAAGGCTATGGCCATGGCGGCGCGCCGCACCCGCAACATCCTCAGCATCATCAGCAAATGAACTTTCCCCAGCAGCAGTACATGGCGGGCATGCAAAATCCGTACCTGGCCTCGCAGCAGCAACAGCAGCAGCAACAGGCAGCAGCAATGGCAACGGCAGCTGCGGCGGGTCCTGCCGGATACTACGATCAAAGCGCCATCCCAGGCCAGCTGGCACAAGACCCGCGCGCATCTCCACGCATGTCCGTCTCTCAGATGAAGAATGATGGACGTGTTGCTCCACGATCCCCAACCAATGTCAACAACGCTATGAACAGTGCGCTTCCTTCGCAGGTTCAGATGACGCCAACTCAGATGCAACAAAGACGGATGAGCACTCAAATCAGCAGCCCTGCGATGCAGCACCCACAGCCCGTCATGAGCCACGGGGGTCCCCGACCTTCAGTGCCCCCGCAGATGGCCCAGCAACCTCAGCACCAACAATCGCCAGAGCTCGTATCAGGGGGTCCCCAAGCCGAGGAAGCTCCCCTCTACGTCAACGCCAAGCAATTCCACCGCATCTTGAAGAGACGTCTTGCAAGACAAAAACTCGAAGATGCACTCCGCCTGACATCCAAGGGACGTAAACCGTACCTGCACGAGTCCAGGCACAACCATGCCATGCGTCGTCCGCGTGGTCCTGGCGGGCGCTTCCTTACTGCAGAAGAGGTGGCTGCCATGGACAACGGTCAGAAAGGCGAAGGCGAAGACGGCAACAAGGAGAACGCATCCATGCCTCCCAAGTCTGGCAGCGCTGGACCGAAGCGCAAAGCTTCGTCTTCCCAACTCAAGGGAACACCAGACGTCAAGAAAAACAAGGCAGGTGCTGTACAGCGTCACAGCACTAGTGAGGATGATGAGGAGGACGAAGATGATGGTGAAGACGATAGCTGAGTAGCTCTTCGGTTTGTTTCTTTTTCTTCTTAGGGTAATTCGACTCCTACATGTTTTTTCTTCCTTTTCCCCTTGTTAATTTCGACCTTTGGTACTTTCGAGAACCCCAACCCCCCCTTTTTTCGGTCCACGATTCACGAAGCGAGTGCTTTTGGGATATTTGTTTGTCTTATACTCATGTTACACCTGTTGTCGTCATTGACGCCTTCCACACACATATACACAAATTGTCGTAGCAATGGAATGAGTGGAATGAGGGTTACAGGTATGGCGAGGTGGTCTGAGCGTATGGCACTCAGCTTCTGATGAGCCTGCTAGGGTCTTTGGTACTTTGCCATTGTTTTCAACTCTTGTCTACGGACCTTCTGTATATTTCTTTTTATCTTTTCTCTTATGACTCGATACCCACATTCGCTACATGTTTGGCGAGGATACCCAAACTAACGGCCAGGAGAGCCAGTGGTTATACTAGAAAGGGTCTCCTTCATCGGAAGAAAATCTATACCTTTTTTTTGCTTAATTGCTATGGTGCAAGATGTTTTCCTGGCAGCGAGGTAATGTGATTAACACTTTGCATGTTGCGTTACATTGGGTGTGCAACCAACCTGTCACGGAACTATCAACATGTTGTTGCGGATCCAGTTCCTGCGGGGATCTCTGTAATGGGCCTTGTACATATGTAACTACGCTATTAGCGGGGCTGGTCCCCGGGATCCAGATGGATTTGTTGAGTCAGCAAGGTCGTTTTTTTCGGCGGTGCAGCTCACGAAAAGTTTGCAGCAGATGGTTGCCACAAATATTGATTGGTGGTAGAAGTGGCGGGGTGGATGAGCGCGAACTACTACTAGTCCGCGAGTCGTTGGTGGATTGGTCATTGCTAAGTAATTCAGTGTGGAACTGAGGTGCGGGACCGCAGTTCGGTGACCAAGCGGAGAAGTGCATTTGCGAGGCGTGGGATTCTGCATGCCGGGCAGTAACAGCCGGGGATGCTACGATAAGCATCCTTCTCGTGCCTTCCGTCTAAGTACGCAGTACAATATGTGTCTTCTGTCGCACCTTACTCCTGTCCGCCATTCCTCACAACAGCGACAAGATGACCAAAGACCCGCCCAGCCGCTCTTCCTCGGACGAGTCAATCCGAGAGGTTCAAGATCAAGAGCGAGAAGCCATCATTGGCGCCGAAAGGAGTGCACTTGAAGAGGAATGGTGCAACAGCATTCGCTTGAAGGTCGACCTTCGACTATGCAGCATTGCGGGCCTCCTCTGCTCGCTCAATCTGCTTGACAGCGGTGTCATTTCCAGCGCGTCCGTTACTTCCATGCTCCACGACCTGGAGCTTGATGTCGGCAACAGATACTCCGTCTCCATATTCATTTTTACCATTGCAAGTATTGCTTTTCAGCTGCCGTCAACAATCGCTGTCAGGACATTCGGCCCGAGAATCTGGTTTTCCTTCATCACCTTCTGCTTTGGCATCATCACGCTTTGCACAGCCTTTGTGCAAACGTGGCGGCAGATGATTGCACTTCGCATCTTGCTTGGTATTGCCATGTCGGGCATCTACCCAGGTCTGACTTATCTTATTTCCACATACTATACGCGGAAGGAACAACAGCTTCGCTTTGCGTTGATGCAGAGCGGAGAAGTTATTGTGCTTGCAACGGGTGGGATTGTCAACTATGGCCTCAACCAAATAAACGGCGGACATTTAAAAGGGTGGTCTTATATGTTTCTTGTGCAGGGGAGTATCACCGCCTTTATTGGTATCTTGACATACTGGTGGATGGTCGACTTTCCAGAACAAGCACACAAATCCTTCTGGTTTCTCACTCCACACGAGAGTGCTGTGGCATCAGCTCGCATTGAGAAAGACCGCGGCGATGTTCAGGCCGACCCATTTACATGGAGCGAGGTCTTTGTACACGCCAAAGATGCCAAAGTATATGGATTTTGCACGTTGTATTTTCTTCAAAATCTTGTTTCAACCTCGCTATCATACTTCCTCCCAATCATTCTACAAGGCGGCATGGGATTCAGCTCCGGCAAGTCTATTTTGCTCTCTGCGCCACCGTACTACTATGCTGTCATTCCAGCTATCCTGTCGTCCCTGGTCGGTGACAGATTCCAGTTGAGGGGGCCAATCATTGTGTTCAACTGCCTGTCCCTGATTTTAGGCTTCTGTATGCTGGGCTTTTCGAGTCAGGTCACGGTAAGATACATTGGGACGTATCTTGCAACAGGGGCGTATGTGGCCAATTGGGCCGCCATGGCTACGTACCAGGCCAACAACATTGTGGGTCAATGGAAGAGGGTATTTACGGCTGCGATGGTTACGGCATTCAACGGCGCAGGTGGTATCGCTGGGAGCTTTATTGTCAGACAGCCCGAGAGTCCAAGGTACATGACGGCCATTTGGGTTAGCATTGGAAGCCATGTCCTTATCATTGGCTTGATCGGCGCATTTTCGATCCACTTTTACCAGGCGAACCGAAGCCAGAGCAAGGGAAAGCGCATCTTGGAAGGAACGGAAGGGTTCCGGTTCACGTATTAGAGAGAAGAAGAAAAAAGCTCGAATTTACGCATAACAAGGTGCAGCTGGACGTTGTCGAGCCGGCTTAATATAGACCAAGTCCGCAATTGTCTCGGGAGTCCAGGTATTACTTTTCCTTGTCTCTCAAACTCTATGCATTGATCGGGTGTCACACTATGTTCCTACCGGGTGGTTGTATGTACACATGTATATGTATGTACGCATAGACTGCTGATTTCCGTGTTTCGGACGCAGAGTGAAAAACAAAGGCGGCGCGTGAGAAGTGCCATGGCCGACAAGAGTGCTAGACGGGGTCGCGGGAACATGGGACGAAAGCGGGTTGACGTCGTTGTGGGGATCTGGCTGGGCAAGGCGGATTCCATGGTGGCTCGTGCTGCGCGGCTCCCAAGCGTCGACGACCCAAGTTGCAACCATCAGTCTCATTTCTTCTCGGCTGCTAACAGCACGAGCATCCCCGCATTGCCGGTTGGTTGTCCCCAACATCGTCTTCACCTTCTCTCCAAGCCCGCCACCAGATTTCCTGGCCCCTACGTTGCTGGCCGCCGACTAGGCAGCCCCGACCAGCTTGCCCCTGTTCCAGCTGGCCCCTCGAATCGCAGCAGCAACTCCCCGTAGCCTTCCGCCGGCCCAGCTGTATGCGCATATTCACCGACGACCAACGCCTCTAACCCTTCTTTCCGACGAGCTCGATCACTGCATAGAGGCCGCGCCGTGCCTTGTACCGCCACAATGGTGTTCCTGGGCATATACCGTGCCCTCTACGACTATGAGCCCCAAAGTAGCAATGAGATTGCCTTGACTGAGGGCGACATTTTGATGGTCCTGGAGAAGTCCACCGACGACGACTGGTGGAAGGCCAAGAAAAAAGGACGCGAAGAAGACGAGGAGGAGCCCGAGGGCCTGATCCCAAACAACTACATTGAAGAGGTGAGTCGTGTATTTGGTACCCAATGGGCACCTCGGCTCGGCGTGGTTTAAGGCACACGTCCACGACAACGCCACTGCTTGTCTCGCAGATGTATTCCACGGCCACACAACTGACCACGTGCACAGGCCGCCCCCATTGCGCAAGCCAAAGCCCTCTTTGACTACGACCGCCAGACGGACGAGGAGCTGTCGTTCAAGGAAGACGCCCTTCTTGATGTCTACGACACCACAGACCCAGACTGGACGTTGGTGGGCGTTGAAAGCGACTATGGCTTTGCACCGGCCAACTACATTGAGCTCATCAAGGGCAAAGCTGCCTCAGCCGCACCAGCTGCATCGTCTCCGGCGGCACCAAGTCGCCCACCAATGCCTCCAGCTGCCGACTCCTTTGACGACTCCCAGCCGCCTACCCCAGATAGCCCTGCGCAACCAAGCCCTGCTGCCGCACTCGCTGGTATCATACAGAAGAAGTCTCAGGAAACAGCGCCGCGATCGACCATTTCGCCCCCACCCAATGTTAGCGCGCCTCCGCGACGACGCGTGCAATTCACGCCCGAAGAATCTGATGACGATGTGCCACCACCTAGTCTTCCTCAACGGCGAGTATCCGAAGCAGCCTCTCATCCACCTACCCAATATGCGACAGCGCGGTCCCCATCACCCCCGGCCAGGTCACCTCCCCCTCGAAGTGTCACGTTCGACAAATATGATCCACCAAGCAGGGAAGAGCAGCCAACCACTCCGAGGTCCGCTTCAGGATACCGTCTCTACAATATTTACGAATACATTACGCAGCCGGGCAAGAACAAGAAGATGCCAATGACACTGGGTGTCAACATCCCCAAGGGCATGATCATGATTGCACCAGAAAAGTCACGCGACGGGCCGCAACAAGAATGGAGTGCTGAAAAGATGGAATACTATTCGCAAGAGGGCAAGCACATCTTCATGGAGCTCAAGCAGCCGAGTAAAAGCATTGATTTCCACTGCGGAGCCAAGGACACTGCGTCAGAAATCATGATGGCTCTTGGTGAGCTTGCGGGAGCTGCAAAGAGTGCGGGACTGCGGGAAGTGCTTGCTGCTGGTTCCGGACACTCGAATGTACAGAAAAAGGGAGTCATGTTATTTGACTTTATGGCACAGGGTGATGATGAGGTGACTGTTGGCCTTGGTGATGAGATTCTGGTACTCGATGATTCAGCTAGTGATGAGTGGTGGAAAGTCAGGCGGCTGAAGAACGGCAAGGAAGGTGTCGTGCCAGCTAACTATGTCGAGATTACAGAAACCCTCCCCATACCTGCTACTGCTGCCTCGATGGCTCGTTCCGGAACCAATGCTGGCCGATCTATAGTCGAACAGAACAGGCGGGAAGAAGAGGAGCTGGCTCGCCGGGCCGCAAGACAGAAGAGGCCAGAAAGTGAGGCGAGGAATGATCAGGTAGGCCCTGGCCTGCACTTGCCTTCGCGTAACTCTAGCCTTTTGCAAACAAATATTGACCAGCGTCGTGCCTCACAGAGAACAAGCAAGCGCGAAACCTCGTCCAAAGACTCGAGTTCGAAGTCCTCGTCCAAGCCAAGTGAGTACATTATTATACCAAAGGCCGAATTCTCAGCAGTGCGAAATGCCCTGATGCATTTGCCTATGGGCGTATTCCTCAATGGGGCTGTAACGTGTTAAGGTGTGTTAAATACTAACCAATATGTGCTAGATCCCGCCAAAGTGCGCACCTGGACTGACCGATCTGGCTCGTTCAAGGTTGAAGCAGAATTTATTCTTATCAAGGATGGCAAGATTCACTTGCACAAGGTCAATGGCGTGAAGATTGCAGTACCGGTCACAAAAATGTCCGTTGAAGATCTTGAATATGTTGAGCGCGTCACAGGCGAATCTCTGGATGACGACAAGCCTTTGTCTGACTTGAAGAGAAAGACCATGCAGCAGCAGCGATCGAAAGATGGACGTTCTCCAACCGGGTTGTCGGTTGAGAAGAAGCCCGAGTACGACTGGTTTGACTTCTTCCTGAAGTGTGGTGTCAACCCGCAAATATGTGAACGCTATGCTCGGGCGTTTGTAAAGGACGAAATGACTGAGGAGAACATCCCAGACATCACGCCATCGCTTTTGCGTACTTTGGGTCTCAAGGAGGGTGATATTCTCCGTGTGTCCAAGTACGTAGACGCCCAGTTTGGGCGCGACAAGCGAAACGCCGGCTCTGCGGAAGACAATGGAGAGGGAGCGTCTGGTGGACTGTTCTCTGGACCCGGAGGTGCGCTTCGTAACAATACCCGCAAGGGACGTCCTGCACCTCCTGTGGAGACCAACGATGTGGTGGATCCAAAAGCATTCGAGCCGAAGTCTGACGATGCTGGAAAGAAGCCCACAGAGAGTGCTGCAACTTCTGCAGGTGCATCGGACGCCAAGGCGAACGGATTCGACGACAATGCCTGGGATGTCAAGCCATCAAAGTCGGCACCTGCTTCTGCCCCGGAAAAGTCTGCATCTCCGCCTCCAGCGCAGTCTGCACCTGCTGCAAAGCCACCTCAGTTGACTGGAGCTATGGGCGAGCTGTCCCTCTTGGATATGCCCGCCCTCAAACCCGAGGAGATTGCTCAGCCAACACCTCCTGCACCTGCGCCTGCTCAACAAGCAGCACAGGCACCCGCTCCACAGCAGCAGCCACAGCAGACAGGAGCTACCCCAACTCTGTTCGAGCAGGTTGCAGCTATCAAGGCCTTGACTCAACCTCAGAACATGGCACCGCCACGCATGCGTCCACAGGCTCCTCAGCAGCAGAGCACCGGCGGTCTGCTCGCTCCACCACCGCCACGTGCAGCCTCAGCTCCGCAGAACCCGCAACAGAGTGCGTTTGGTCCGCCACCACCATTGCAGCCTCAGCTTACTGGCTACAACCCCAACATGATGGCTCCAAACGTCGGACAGGGGCAGGGAATGCAAGGCATGCAGCCGCAGATGACTGGGTTCCCCCAACAAAATGGAGCATACGGGTTCCAGCAGAACGGCATGATGGCGCAACCAACGGGATTCAATTCCATGTCGCCGGCACCACCACAACAGCCCATGCAAACTGGGTTTGCGCCATTCCAGCAGCCTCAGCCTACAGGGTTCCAACAACCAATGGCGACGGGCTATCAGCAGTCACCGCACTTCACCCAAGGGTTTGGTAACGGCAGTCCGTTTGCGGATCCCCCAATGGCACCCTTCCAACCACTGCAGGCCCAGCCGACTGGATACAATTCGTTCCAGCCAGCACCGCTTAACCCGCAAGCGACTGGCGTCAACCGCTTCTTGCCTCCGGCAATTGTGCCGCAGCCGACGGGCTTTGGTCAGAGCCCACCACCGGTACCTCCGATGCCGCCTATGCCGCCTATGCCGCAAGCACAGCCTCTAGTGCCGCAAAGGACTGGACCGCCCCCGAGCATCAAGTTTGGTGTTCAGCCTGCGAAGAAGCTGACAGCTCAGCCAACGGGGCGGGCGAACCTCGCCAATGCTAGTAAGTGGTTGCATTTGATGATTGATGCTCGTGTTGCTAACTATTTACTAGCTCCTCAGAACCCCTTTGGCTTTTAAGCTTGTTGGTGTGCTATTGGCATGGATGTACCAGCGCCTCCTTTCATCTATTGCCCTGTTTGCTTAGATGAAGGCCCATACAATTAAACATTCTACCTCTACGTGTACTTGTACATAATTTTGCTATAGTGGGGCGTGGTTGCGGTTTGTAAAGAGTTGGATGGATTCTGCTCTGGCGCAGAAGGGACCCACGGCATATTCTGATTTTACTTTTTTATTTCTTTGCATAGCGCATATTAGCATGCTCGTGCCCCCTTGGGAAGTAATTGTTGAAGTTCTCTGCGCGCATCTGGGCAATTGATTGAGGATGCGGGTGGAAGAGGAGTGGCGCATGGGATGGTGGGTGAGCAAAGGGAAATCGTGGGAAAATGTACAGCTAGGATGGATAATGGAAATTATAAAGGTTGATAAGAGCTACAGTTAAATGCTTTCTGTCATGATGATTGAGCAAAGGAGAAAGGCAACAGATATGTACATCAAAGGGTTCCAGCTAAGCCCTGTGCAGCCCAATATCGTTCAAATTACAGCTGTCGTTAGGGACGGGGGGCGCAGGCGAGGCCAGGATGAGACTTCGGCACCAAGCCTTCGCCAAGTAAAGCTTAGTTTAGCGCATCCCTCGACAGCCCATGTCACGGCATCTCACGCGGTTGCTTCTTACCGACGTGGCATGTATAGGTGCATAATAAACTCACGTATAAGGGGTTGCATGGTTCAGACCGCGAATGCGCATCTCTCTCATTGATTTTGGTCAGGCTTCGCAAGGAAAAAGGCATCTTCTGGTGCTGCTGCAAGTCTACATGTATGTGTTTAGCACTACCACGTATGTACGACGTAGCCACAAGCTCAAACAGAAATAAAGAGGCGCAGCGCAGCCGCGTATTGCTGCGTCGGTCCAATGAGTAAAAGAGCGCACAGTGACAGATGGGTGAAGCATGGGTGGTGCTTGTGGCGATGACGAGTCCCGGCCAGTTTTGCACCAATAGAGGCGCACGTAGCGTGTGGCTTATGCCCCAAGGGCCGAAATGATGCGTCGCAGCGCCGCAGTGCTGCGTGCGCGTGAGATGGATGTGGGTATAGTGGCTAGGCCATGTTGTGGTAAGCATTAGCTTTCCCCTCTTCCGAGCGCGGCGGCTTCTTAGCTATAATCTTCTTTCCTGCTCTCTTTCTTCCCCCATTGCACTTTCCTTCCTTCCTCACTCACGCTTCCCCTCTACCTTGTCTATCTCCACTTCCAACCCACAATCTCACCAAAACAACTCGGCGCAGTCATCAATTGCCAGCAGCTCTTACACATCAGCTTTCTCCCTCTGCGCGACCCTCGTAGCGATCAAAACGCCGCTGCTCCCGTAAGCATACAATAAGCGGTCGCGGAAACCTCGGGATTTTATCTTTTTTCTTTCCTACTTGACACGAGCGATCTGCATATATCCACAAACAAACTCGACACGAGCGAGTTTTGAGAACCTGAGAAACTACCCATTTTCATCTCCGGACACACGACGCAACAATGTCCAACCAAGGATACTACCAGGGCGCTCCTCAGTACCCCCAGCAAAGGTACGTTTCACACCCTGCTTCTCACCTCACTTGTTATTTGGGAAATCCCTTTTATCAAGTATTGCTAGAAAAGAGAAACAATCTAGGAGAGCAATAGCGCTGACTTTTTTTTCTTCAAAATAGCTATGGCCCTCCTCAAGGCGCCAACTACGGCCCTCCACCTCCACAACAAATGATGTACGGACCTCCACAGGGCCAGGCCCCACCGCCTCAGAAAGAGAAGAAGGACAGGGGATGTTTGGCTGCTTGGTACGTTGCTCCTCCTTTTGTTCATTTTGCGCGTACACTCTTCGAGAGAGAGACGAAGATACAAAAATTTAAACTGCTATTCCGTCTTCAAATGCTAACTTGGATAATAGTCTGGCCACCCTATGCTGTTGTTTCCTGTGCGAGGAGAGTTGCGAATGTTGTCTTGAATGCTGCGAGTGTTGCGCAGATTGCTGCTAGATGGCGTTTCGATGCGGTGTGCGATGAGACTGGAGGAATGAACGGGGTTTCAATCGATTGGTGCCATGGGGAAGTCATCAAGTCTGGATTATGGCTTTCGACGATTGAGGACGCATCCCCAAGGTGATGTGATGTCTTCATTTGCGTTTCTGTTTTATCATTCAAGGATACATATTGCTTTGTTCTAGGGGGAAAGATACCTTTGTACTTGTTTTTTTTACACTTTTCTCATATGTAACACAAGTTCACGGTTTACTCCGGTGAATCCTATATTACAATCCGTTTCTGACGTCAATGGATAGCTGTTGAACTGTCGCGCGAGTGGCTGTTCATCTCTTGTTTACCGGCTCCTTTCAGTAATTTATCTTACCGCAATATTCTGCATATTTGCTCTCCCATGCTGGATGTCCAATCACACATTTATCAATTGAACGGGTTCACTTTCACTTTTTTATTAGCGTGGCCAATGAGAGCAAGCCTCACACCAAGGTTGTATCTCTTTCACCCTGACTCACTCACTTGTCGCATACACTTGATTATCTCTCGCTTACAGTGTACTGGAATATGAAAGACTCTCCTGACCTTGCAGCTCTTGCCACGAACACTGACATGACAAGTCGAAAATGGGTTTTTCCAAGTACTGTGCTCTTTCCCTATTGATTAGCGATTACAGAATTGCTGGCTGGTGCGTTAGAGTTATCAAGCAGCGACGCAAGACTCCGAAGCCCTTCGGTTCTACCCTGAAGCTTAGAAACGAGCTACTCAAGACCAAAATCGATGAGGGCTCCGAATTGATGCAGATGTAGGTGCAGTGTAGAACGAGGATCCTTTGAGAGACTAACTGTCATCAGCTCCAAACGCAACGCGATTGAATCGCCGCTTCTCCATCTTCCAGGCGAAATACGCAACAAGATCTGGGAGTATGTGCTGAGCAACCATTTGATCTCGATACACGGGAATTCCAGGGGGTCATTAAGAGAATACGTACATTCCACAGATAACGACAAAGTGACCCGGGTTTCTTTGGGGAAGCGTCTTCTCAGCGCATGTCGCCAGATACATGAAGAAACTTCAACCATGTTCTATGCAATCAACACAATCAGCTTCAATTCCAAGTTCACTCTTGATCTCTTCCTCAGTCACAGCACACCCCAGAAACTGGGCCTTATCACTTCAATGGGAGTGCCCTACGATTACTACAAGTTCTATAACGAGGGATATTGCAAAAAGTTTCATGAAATATTTCCAAATGTCAAGCATCTTTCCATCGATGACTATGTGGCTGGGCACCGACAGTATATCAGACGCCTCCTGTGGACGCCCAAAGACTCGATTGAGAAGGAAAAAAAGTAGGTTGAAGATGTGATAAAGAGCAAGGAAGGACGAGATTTTGAGATTTCTTGGTATTGTGATTTGGACGGTTAGTGCTGGTTGGCACATTGCCTCTTAACACCGCGGCTTTGAGATTGATATTTATACATGCATATCGCATGACGTGCGGTTCTTGATCAGAAAGGACAAGATGGCTAATTTTCCACTACCCGCTACCAGATGGTTGACTTCAGAAGGCACTCTTTGCATTTATCCACAACGGAAACAGTGTTCAGGGTTTTCATCACCACGGTGGTCAGATACACCATGTTGGGAAGGTACTTTCAACCAGGCACTACATAATTAACGGGCAATCCATTCCTTAAATCCATGTACAATCTCTCCCTCTCCGAAAATAAAAGCAACTCCTAGAATTCCAAGGGAATTTTCCTATTAAAACTAAATTTCTTTTGATGTTCCGATTTGCAGGACTGAGTTTTTTTTTTAAAAAGTTTTAGCGCTAAAGAAGCTTTCTTGATTTCTTTCGTGTTTGACCACTGCACCAATTCTGAACAACCCAAAAAAAACTATATCTAGCTACTTCAGAGAACCATCATGTAATCAATACACTTAATTACAAAACCCATGTACATCAGGCTTATCGTATAGCGGCATATGCTTTCGTCTGAGCACGAATATTGAACAATGGAACCTTTTTTGTTTTACTTTCAACCTATCGATATCGACTAGGTGCACTGCATGACAGACTACTACAGTGTCGATATTACTGAAATAATTGTAGATATTCAAACAAGCGCTAAAAATTAACTCCGCGTGAAGATTACTCTTCGTAAAATATTATGAACTAAATATTGAAATTACGCCAGTGCCGGCGTGTGCACGAGGTCCTCCCTTCCCCCTCCTTTTTGCCGTTTAAGATGTATATCCCCCCCTCCCTTTTTTCTCTCTCTCTCTTCTCTTGTACCTTCTCTTTCGCAAGCTCACTGCATGGGCACTGTGAGCTAGCCATTATCCATTATCAAATCTTCTTTTGGTGCAGCAAGGTTACTTGCTTGTGTTTGTTCCCCAGGGCGCATGTAGTCCTGCCGTGTGCTTGGATCGGTGTCTCTGCGTACCGATGCGCGGGAAGCGACTGACAACGTATTCATGCTCCTTTCTGTATGTGACAGCGTAACGATAGGGAATTCGTAGGCCGTGTTCGCAAGCCGGGCGAATATACGGAGATGGGAGTGTATCGTTCGAGTTTGGTTCGTGGTCCTCAGTCACTTCCTCGACTGACAGCGTGTAGATGTACCTATCTTGTATAGGTATTGACGTCGTTGGTGGCAGGAGCGGTGAATCGACAGGGCTTGTTGCTCTCCCAGACGCACTCAGTGTTGATGATTCCAGCCTGAGGTCATCGTGGTATCCTTCTGCAATGGGCTACACTGCATCCAAGCGAGCCATTCGGCATGGTAGTAGAGATAGTATCGTAGCCATGACGTTGGTCATAGTCGCAGCGCTACAGTTCCAGAGAAGGAACGCAGTCCTCGCCTTCTCATCCGCGACTGCCATAAACGGAATCCCGCACCACTCCCTCTTCTGTATCACACATCTTTCCTCTACCCACGAATCCCTCTTGCTTTCTCAATCTCCAGCAATCCATCTTATCCTCAAACCGTATACCGCTCCTGCATCATCATCTCCGCCTCATCCCTCTTCGCAAGCACAAACGCAATCTCCGACCCCACGGCCACCACGACCGTCGCCACCATCCCGATCGGCGCCCCGATAGCCCCGAAACCCAAAATAGTAAAGCAAGTATATCCCGTGAAAATAGAAAGGTACATTACGCGAAAGAAGAGCAAGAAAAGGTCATCGGGTCTAGGCTTCGTCATAGTCGCCAAAGCGAGAATCTTGCAAAGAAAAAAAAGAAGAGGTTGCAACAAAGTAAGGAACTGGCCCTTACATGAAAGAAGAAAATCAAAAAGTAAAAAACAAAAGGCGTTCAGCTCAGTGTACCATCCGAACACCCACCACTACCACTACCGCACCCCAGGTTTTCCCAGCCTAACCTTGCTAACTATGTTTCTTTTTTTAGATACGAGACCGCCCGCTGCAGTTTGACGTTTGACTGTGTCTAGTCTAACTAGTCAGCAGCCAGTGAGAAGGAAGACGGATCACCCCCTGACCCAACGAACAAGGCCCAAATAGGAACGATGGAACAATTGAATATTGTTGTGAATCGGGAAACATACATATAGGGACGGGTAGCCGCCCAAAAAGTTATTGACATACTGACTCGCGCATTCTTAAAACGGGAGGGACAATCCTTGAGGTGGATATGTGTATGTGTGTGCCCCACTGTCACGCACGTGAAGGGGCGTTCAGCCTCTTACTGCAAAGACGCGTCAGCCTTTTTTTTTGTTCTGCCAACAGGGCTTTATTTGCTGCGCTGCTTCTCAGCCCGCAGGGCCGCGACATAATCAGTGTGTAAAGCTGGCGAGGTTTGATTGGTCTTGTTCCAATTGTTTTCTCTCGGCTTATTCTTCGATCTGTGCTGTTCCAACACAGCACTACTATCGTGTTGAAACACAAGGGTCATTGAATACCGCTCGGGCCATGTCGGTTGCGAGGTTTTGGCAGACGTCAAACAATGTCAAACTTTGAGTGGAGGGGGGAAGGGGGGGTTGGGTGCTATGGATCTACCAAATTGCTGTTTTCGGGGTTCGTCTATCGAACAGATGGGGTTGGGGGTTTGGGGGAATACGTAGAAGGTCCGATTGCAGCTGTGTAGTACCGAAACTTTGTATGCATTACTGACATGAACGATGTGGATAGCTGATCTACGCTAGAAAGCTTTCGTTGAGCATACGGCGTCGGAATACATAATCATGAGATCGATTCGTTGCCAGTATTCTGTGGCGGATGCGGGATACGTAAACATGCAGGCCTTGGTATCGTATGTCGAAAGTCATGACCGCACGAACATGGATTATGGTGGCAATGCTATGCAGATAGTAGAAAATCGGTGAGTACCACCATGGAAGCCCTCAAACGTGATCAAGACGTTGGTGTGGTGCGATCTGCAAATGCAGGCAAGGTTCAGATTCCTGGGCTTGACCTACAGATCTGCCCGCTCGACAAAATAAGAGCAACTCAAGTCTACCATCCCTCGCCATTCTCACCCAGCTTGAACATACCATTCTTATTCTTATCAGCAGCCCACCTCTCACACCACACCTTCATCTTCTCCCTACTGCTCGCGCTTCCCACATTGACTGTCGGTATAATCTTGTCGATTCTTAGTGCACAACAGAACATGGTCAGCTCCCTGAAGCTGCTATGCTCACTGTAGGGTACCCCGAAGCAACTCGCACGACTCCCGCTACCTGCTTGCGGCTTTAGGTCTTTCATGGCAAAGGTGCTCTTCCAGTTGTCCGAATGTAGGACAGTCTGCACCTGAGGCGACTCGGTGAAGCGACCTTGAGGTGGACGATAGTTCCAGCCAGAAGGTCTAAAACCAACAACACGTGAAAAGGTATCAGCGTAACCACGTAGATAGTCATCCAACGTCTCTGCTCTAATCTCAAAAAGTGGTGTCATATGCACCTGAGCAGCGCGAGGATCGGTAGTCAGCAGCGCATCTAGCTCAGGGTCTTCGAGGGCCTTGCAGATGCGTTGCTTGTTAGCGGGGGCGTATATCTTGCTTTTCAAAGCTTTGGCGATGCCCGTGCATATGCGTTCCTTCCCAATGCTGTATGTGCCTACCACGACAAGAAGGCGACCCCGCTCAGGACTCTTTGGCTCCGATGAGTTCTCCGGATTAGAGTCTTTTTGCACAAAATTGACCATACCTTGCCCGGCACGTTTTCGCTTCATCTTCTCCCATCCGTCCGACTCATCGGCACGAGTCTTGCTGAGGCTAACGCACATGTCTGCGCACGCCTGAATGACTTGCTGTTGTGGTGGGAAGGCGTACTTTGGGTTGAGATAGGTGGTGTCAAGGTAGCATGCGTCGAGCTTTTGCTGTCTGCTCTTTCCACTGACAGCGTCTAGTACGTCCGGTCGGAGCAGCGGATGCTCTACATGTGCTTGGCAAGCGCGGAAATCTCCACAGTGCAGGACCCTTTGCAGCTTTTGGTTGTTGCCTTTGCCGACTTCCTTTTCAAACAGAAAAAGGGAGCTGCCTGGACAGTGGTTTGCTGATATCATCGTCACAAAAACGCCTCCAGCTCCCGGCACTTCGGTCTTCACCTCAAAATCTAGGTCGACCACCCACTTCGGGTCAACCCGAAGTTGCTGCCGTACCAGATTGCCTGTAACTTTACTGCAATAAATGGGGCCGTGCTTCCAAGACGCACTAAGCCCAACGTAGTGATCACTGTGAAAGTGGCTAAGAAAATAAGCGTTTTGGCCCTTGACAGCACCATAGCGAAAAGCATCGACGGCGATGAAAAAGCCTGGCATAATCTTGTAGAATGGGCAGGTGCGCTGGTAGGCTGGCTTGCCCCGCGACTTGTTGTTCTCGGCTGCCGCACTTGCCCATGCTGCATCTTCAGCATGGCCCGCCATGAGCTTTGAAAACGCTGAGCTTGGCTGAGTGTTGGGCTTCGCAAGCTGAAATGGGTTTGCTTGGCCGGGTTTTGCTGGTCGCTCGGGTCGTTTGAACATCTTTGCACTACTGGCAGCAGTTGGTTTGCTTTCCTGTTCCATCTTCGCTGTGGGAAGCGGAAGTGGCTTGCCGTCCAGGCACGCGTTGACGTGGACAGACACATCTTGTTCTGACAATCCAGGAAGATTGTTACCGCATATTGGACATGAAAGTACATTAGGGGCATCGTTTTCTTCCGCCTCCTGTTTCATATCCAGTGCATAACTTTCAGGGAACAGGAAGGGCGCCTCAGAGTCGTCTGCATCGCCCTCCAAGACCGCCTCTTCCATCTCTAGCTTCTGTTGTTCCTTCATCCAACGCCTTTCATCGTATTCTTCACCTTCAAGCAAATCGTCGTCCTCGAGACCTTCGTAGTCCTCGTATTCTTCGTCATCGGGGATAATTGTGGGTTCTGGCTTGGGTGAGGGTGAGTGGGCTATTGACGGTTCAATGCTTTCCATGAGTATTGGATCCTCGGTCTCTTTAGCAATTGGTGACTTCGCACTGATTCTTCGCATGGCCATACCTGGACTTGTAGCAGGCATATCCGCTTCGTCGTCTTCGGATTCCGAATCGTCTACAAAAGGCCCTGATCTCTGGCGAGGTTTCGACGCTTGCTTGGGTGCTTGAACCGCAAGAGCGTCCAGAGCGTTGCTCTCAGCATCTGCTGGTGGGGGCGGCGAACAGGCTGGAGGCGGGGCTACTGGTTCTTCGCTGACTTTGCGCCGCTTAATACTGCCACCGTTCTCATTATAGCGATCCTCGCTGCCCGAGACCATGACACCATTGTTCTTCTCGTCGCTCCAGCCAACGTCTTCCTCGTCATTCTCGAGCGCAACTGTTGGATTTGAACCTCTTTCCTGCAGGAATATACGGTTGTTGATCTCCTCAGCCTTCTTGAAGAACGTCATGATGTTGCCGTTGGGCGTCCCTGCTGGCTTCTGCTTCTTGCCATTGCTCGCAGAAGTCGACTTCTTGGCAAATTCCGCAGGCGTGAGCGTAGTCTGGATGACATTTTTCTTTGGCGGAGGCGTGTTTGTGCTTGGCTTGGGCGCTGCTTTCTTTGTCGCGGTTGTAGTGGCCATGACTGCGTTGCTTGACGAAGAGCGGGGCGGCGAGGGGGGCCGGCCAGTTGAGGGGCCCAATTTCGTCGACTCGGACAGGGTGCGGTTCTCTCGAGGATTCCTGAACATGAGAATAGCTGTTCCGCATAACCGAGCGTCGCCGCAATGCTGTTTGGTTTATGCTGTAAGTTTGCCCCAGTAGCTGAGTGGCGAGTGCATCGGCTCAAGGCGCGCCAAGATAAACGCGTGGACACGTGAGCGTCATGCACTTTACCTCTATCACTCTTCTTGTATGTAATAGCGGAAAACGCACTCCATGTCCACCCCCTTGAATAGCTAATACTCTATATAAAGTGAAATTTACATATCAATTGTTTATTATTTTATTTATGCACAACCTCTTCAGTGAACGCAAGTGAGGAGATGGTTGAGTATTTGAGGGGGGCTCACGTGATGCCATCAAACTCTCAAGTCTCAGCACCATGTAAACACGCACACCATGCGATTGTTTATAGTTTTATTTGGACGTTATGGTACATACGACCACAGAAAACTGAAATTTAGGCATCCCGTCCGATCTGCCCTATACAAGCAGTTTATCGGCGGATTAGTAGTCAGGTGGGTGACCACTGGCGAATCCCCGCTGTCGTATGTTTTTGTATATTTATTTTTGCCCAATTCCTAGACCACGTGACAAGGTCTTGGCATGTCCAGCAGTATCAAAGTAACCTGAAGCAGCCCGCAAACAAGAACTACCTAAATCACAGAGTCACAACACCCTAATCACTGTCTGTATAACCAACGAGATATTACTGGCCATGTCGGTTTATCTCTTGAGGCTATGGTGAAGCTTAACGTAAAGTAACATGCCCGATCTACATTCTATGTAGATCCTCTAGCATGCCGACGACGTAGGATCCACCACAACAATACTAAAGCACACCTCCTCTCTTTTGTCAAACCTCCAGGAGAAGCGCATTCAGATAGCTATGTACTTGCAATAATTTCAATGGTCTATTTGCCATTGCCGAGGTTCGAGCCCCACGTCTCCCCACATCTTCTCCACATCTCCATTCAGGACTCTGGGGAAAACAACGTCAAAGTAAATATATGTATCGTAATGTAGAAAAGTGCTTGCGTGAATGCAACTTAGTTACCTGAAGCTTTTCGAACTCACACACTCAACCCTGCAAAAACATGTCCTCACCGCCAGACCAACTCTGCCATCCCACCTTGAAACAAACCCTTCGCGGCAAACTCACCTCGTCAACACTGGAATTTCTCAATTTGAAATACGCACGCATACCAGCACGCTACCAAGATTCCATCCTGAACGATGAACTACTGAAAGCAGGAGCAGACGGTGTGGTAGACAACACCCGCTTCGGTCCCTCATGTCCCCAACACCGCGGAGCCCAAGCGTGGGATCTTACGCTTATCGGCAGCGCAAAACTCAATTATTTCCAGGGCCAAGGACCCACAGAGAGAATGGATGAATTTGAATGTCTAAACTTGAACGTCACAGTGCCAAAATCGGGTCTCGAAAATGCTGCTACGACATCAGGGCGCGAGCACCTACTCCCAGTCTTTGTGTGGGTGCACGGCGGCGGGCTGAGTATGGGATCGAATAGCTGGCCGCAGTACCAGATGAGGCGATTCGTGGAGCGTAGTGCGGAGATTGGGAAGCCCGTGATTGGGGTTGGAATAACCTATCGCGTTAATGTATTTGGCTTCCTAGTGGGCGAAGAGATTGGATCGCGGGGAAATATGGGGTTCAAAGATCAACTGCAGGCGTTTCGGTGGATCAAACGACACATTGCGGGGTTTGGGGGCGATCCGAGTAATGTTACTGCGGTGGGAGAGTCGGCGGGTGGGATATCGCTTTCGACGCTGCTTTGTGCTAATGTGGGGGACGACGGGTTGTTTGAGAGAGTGGCGCTGATGAGTGGTGAGGTAACGGTGAGGAAGTGGCGGAATGGGTGGTGGCAGCAGAAGATGCTGGAAGATCAGTCCACGCATTTGAAATTGGAAAGAGGTAATGCCGAGAGCAGAAGGAGAGCACTACTCGATACGGATGCGGAAGAACTGGCCCAGAAGATGCCAATGACTCAACAATGGACTATGGCTGTTGATAATGAGTTTTTCACGGCCCGAGTGACAATCGAGTCGGTCATGGATGGAAAGAGCGATGTGCACAAGCCTGCTTGGTGTAAGGAGGTTGTGATAGGAGATACAGAGCATGATGGGACTGTTCTCAAGGGCAGGGTTCTCGATCCCCCCAATGCATTGGGTCGACTCAAACAGGCATGTGCAAAATACCTCACGGCATCTGAAACCCAGAGGCTCCTAGCCGCGTACAATCTGGAAAGAACGTTGCCAGAGAAACAAGAGGCAGAACGACTACTCGAGCTGGTCGGCGACCTGCGCTTCCACTTGGCTGCACTGTCAGCATATCGAGGCTGGAAAGCTGCTTCCCCACCAAGACGCGCTTCACGATATCATTTCCATATTCCCAACCCTATTGACGGTCCGTTCAAGGGCCTATCTTCTCACGAACTCGATGTCGCATACCTTCTTAATAACTTTGAAGAGCATCTAGACGAGCACAACAGAAGTATTGCGCTGGCAATGCAGGACCGTTTTATTAGGTATGCCAATGGCGAGGGGTGGGTCAAGGAGGGCAAGGTCGTAGTGTTTGATGGCGATGGGGTAACGGAAGTTGACGAAGATCGTTATGATGCCATCTATCGTAATGGTAGAGGTGCAATATTAGAGGATATTGGACTGACCAACCTGTGGCATGTTGCTGACGTGTGGCAGGGTATACGTCAAGAAGAACAAGAACTTGTCGAGTCTCGTAGCGAGTCGAAACTATAACCAACAAAATGCTACGAACCGTGTTGATAGAGATAACTGGTGTATACTTTCTTCAATATGCTATAATTCAATAAATAGTACAATAATTTTTAACCCAGACCAATACGCCGCCCTAGCTCATGCTTCGAAGACGACTCTATGCTACATCGACAAACCCTCTCTTCTTCCTGTTCTTCTTCTCTTCCTCCAGCTTATCCACATCTTCCCATCTGACCAACTGTGCCTCATCCACTCTCTCGCCCACAAACCTCATGGCTGCAACATTGAACCCAATCAGGTCCTTGTTACCCATCAACGTACTCCGGAGGTCGTTGCGCATGCCTTCAATCACAGTCTTCAACTCTCTGCTTGCAACAATTTGCTTTTGATGTGTCTTTAGCATGAAAAAGAGAACCCGGCACGTCAGGGTGATGTTCCATTGCTTGCGCACCCAAATAGCGAGAAAGGTAAAGAGAGCAGGCAGGGAAGAAAAGGGCAGGACAAGGAGTGCGTCGTGGAGCTGTGCTGCGGGAATCTTGGCGAGAGTGTTAAGGACATGGCGTTCGGCTGATATATTACCGAGAGCCAGGAAGAGAGGATCGCGCTGCGGTGGTGCAATCTTAGGGTTGGACTTCTTCTGGATCTCCCAATCACGAACAACCTCCAGGTCTACCATGCCCAGATCCAGGGCTTCTTGGATGCGTTCACCGGCTGTGAGAGTGGTAATGGTTTGTTTGCTGGCGTCGACGGCTTCGGCGCGTTCACCGTTGGGGTCCTCCTCATCTTCGAGATTTGTTGCAAGTGTCTTTTCGTACATTTCTTCCAACTCTCTTTCTCTCTCTTCCTCGAGGAAAATGGGCTCATCTGATCGCGTCCAGATACGTATACTCTTGTCGTGACTAGCTGTGACGATGAAGTCACCGGTCCGCGCCACGGTCATGGCCCAGATCTCACCGTGGTGGCCTTTGAACTTCTGAATCTGCTGGAACTTGTCACCGTCCCAGCTCTTGATCGTCCTGTCTTTACTGGCGCTAAAAAGGAGGTGGCGTTCATCGCCATCGACGGGATGTGGGATAAAAGATATTTGCATGATGCTGTCTTCGTGGCCGAATAATGCTTTGTGGCAGTCTCCAAAGTCTAGGCCCCATATACGCACATTCTTGTCAGCGGAACAAGTAGCGATAAGTTTGCTATCGCCAGAGATGGACATGTTGAGGACGGGGAGTTTGTGGCCATATAGGTTGAGGAAGAGCTTTAGCGAATCTACAAAGAAGACTTTGACCGTATTGTCGAGGGTTGCGACGGCTAGTAATCGTGAATCGGGCGATACATGTACGCTTAGAACGTCGTCATTGACCTTGAGAATACGGGACTGGATAAGCTTGAGGCGAGGCGTTGTACGTTTGGTTCCTGGTATCTCCTCCTGGATAATGTCGAAATTCCAGAACTTGACCGATTTGTCTGCACTGCCTGTAATGAGCGATTTGCCATCGGGGTGCACTTGCATTGTCCACACGGCTCCTTCATGGGCAGAAACCTTATCGAGTAGTGTCGATGCTGCGATATCATACAGCTCAATATCGCCATCTTTCGTTCCTACGACAACAATCTTGTCTCCTGGAAGGAATGCGCAACACAGTGCATATCCGCACTCCAATGTGCGCAAACAATTCTGTGTCTTGACATTCCAGATCTTTAAGCCTCCGCTCGACGCAGATGCTAGCATGCGGTCGTCCGAGCTGAGTGCGAGCGCGCGCACGTCGTTTCTATGTCCGGAAAGCTCAACGGCTAACGTCCGAGAATAGTCGGGGGCTTCCTCGCTCTTCGACTTGCTCTTTTGCGGAATCTCGTAAACGTCGATGAGGTTGTTGTTGGTGCCGACAAGAAGCTGCAACTTTTTCGATCCTTTGATATGCATCCAAGCAACCGACCTCACCTTTCCGGCCGTCCGTATAGTCACATATGGCACAAATACTTCGCCAATCTCAGCATCCGCCACGTTGACCGTTTCTTCTGCGTCTGCCTCTTCTTGCGCGTCTCCCTTTGTCTCATTTTTTGCCTTTTCCTTCCTTCTCTTTCTTTTTCTGATCAAGCTCTTCCTGACCTCTTCTGGAGTCTTTATGCGCCAGATCTCAACAGCTTTTTCTGCACCATGCACCGCGATGTAGTCGGCCTTTGAATAGAATGAGATGCCCTGTGTTCTGTCCTTGCCCTGTCGGTATAGTATGCCTCTTGGGGTGAGGTACTCGAGGTCTGTCGCTTCGCCAATCTTCGAACCGGCTTTTCGCAAACCGGCTTGGTCAATGGCCCACACCTTGAGCTCTCCATCGTTGCCTGCCGTGATACACCCACTGCCGTCTAGTGAGACACCCAAGGCCCAGCATTCGCCATTTGTCTGCGCAATGTGTGTTTCGATGCAGTGCTGGGTAGTGACGTCCCAAATCTTGATCAAGGCATCCTTGCTGGTGGACAGCAGGAACGCCTGGTCCGGGTCCATGTCGACATCTTCATCGTCGGTGCCGTTCTCTTGGGGTGATTCTTCGGGGTGGATGAAATGCAAACCGGTAATCTGACCCTTGTGTCCTCTTAGCTTGAACAAGCCTGTTTCCGAAACTAGATCCCATATAATGATGTCTGTATCTTTGGAACCACTTGCTAGCCGAACGCCGGTCTGGTCGAAAGCAAGGACAGTGACTGCAGACTTGTGGCCGTTGAAGGTGATGATGACCGTTGACGTTCGCGCATCCCAGATGCGTATGCTGCCATCGGCGTAGCCAACGGCAAAGACATCTGGATCCATGTCGCTTCGGCGAATGACGGTGACTTCTTCAGTACAAGAGTTATCTCGCCACCGGCTCACGAGCTCGCTTTTCTTTATATCCCAGCACAGAACCTCCTCGTTCGCAGCGGCGTATGCGCGTCCAGCGCCAGCAGGCCGGTTAGAGCCCGGCTGTGTCAGACCTTCTGGGGTCCAGATGATGTTCGAGGTAGCAGTCGCGACCACGCCGAAAGCGTCCGTCTGCTCATACTTGCTGTGTGAAGGTCAGCAGAAGCTTTGCATGGGCTGCGCCGCCAGCGCGCATTACCTGTAGGATTTGACCATGTTGCGCTCTTGTCGTCAATCAACTCCACTATACGTGGAAGAAAATCTTATATCAAGGTGCTCAAGCGTGACGACTCCAACTCATTGCGCTTCTTGCAGAACATGTGCGACTATGGGCGGATGTTGGCTGTCGAAATGCAAGGTCGCATATTTCTGGAAACTTTTTAGACAAGGGCCTGACCCCACGGCTGGCGCTAGGCCCACCCTCCAGCATCACCACAGCACACCTCCGTCCTCCGCATCACCGCCCGACTCGAGAGCTCCCCGCCCGATATTACCACCTTCCTCACCTCGCGGAGAAGCTACAAAATCCACAATGCTTCTTCTCGACTATCAGAACGTTCTCATTGAGTCCCTACTGAGGGACCGCGTCAATGGGTTCGTCGTGCCCCGCAGCCTCCCGCTCCGCCGCCAAGTAGCTAACAGCACACAGAGGAGCTCCCGCCAACATTGATCAGGTCGTCTCCGACTTTGACGGCGTCACCTTCCACATCTCGACCCCCGAGACCAAGACCAAGATCCTCGTGTCGCTGCACATCAAATGCTTCAAGGAACTCGTCCAATACGGTGCACAGGCTGTCCTCGAGCGCGAGTATGGGCCGTTCATTGTTGAGCCAGAGTCTGGATATGACTTCTCTGTCCTAGTAGATTTGGAGAATTTGCCAGAGGACCAAGGTGCGCATAATTGTGTGTCAACAAAGAAAAGCGCTGACGGTATGCAGAGGCCAAGGATGACCTGGTCCGCCGCGTAGCCCTCCTCAAGCGAAACGCCATGGCTGCACCCTTCGAGCAGGCTTTCGACGAGTTCCACCAGCTCCAAGAGGAAGCCTCCAAGTACACATCCGAGTCGGCACCGCAAGGTGTGGCAGAGGGCGGTAATGTACGCGCCATCCACTACCGAGAGGAGGAAGCCATATATGTCAAGGCCAGCCACGACCGTGTAACTGTTATTTTCTCAACAGTGTTCCGTGAAGAGACGGATAGGATATTTGGAAAGGTTTTCCTCCAAGAGTTCGTCGATGCCAGGCGAAGGGCTATCCAAAACGCTCCCCAAGTGCTGTTCAGGAACGACCCACCTCTTGAACTACAAGGCATTCCCGGAGTCGACACATCCGGCTCTGCTGATATTGGCTATATTACCTTTGGTGAGCAGATCTGCAGTGGATTGTATATGACTGTGCATGGCTGATAAGTGTAGTGCTTTTCCCTCGCCATCTCACAAACCAACGACGAGCCGATGTCATCTCACACATCCAGACGTTCCGTGACTACTTCCACTACCACATCAAGGCCTCCAAGGCTTTCATTCACTCAAGAATGCGCAAGAGGACTGCCGACTTCCTCCAAGGTATGCTTGCCACAGGTATGCTCTTTGTAAGCTTGTTTACTGACTTGTCTAGTTCTCCGCAGAGCTCGACCCGAGGCAGAAGAGAAGGAGCGCAAGACGGCCAGCGGTCGTACGTTCAAGGTTCAGGCGTAGATCAGATGAGAAAGCAGGCTACAATTGTAACATGACGTATACAATCCAGCATTTGTCCGTGACTGTCTGATATAAAGCATGCTTACGCACAAAGTTGCAGAGAATGCGTTGGGATGGCCAGACGATGTACTACACCACAAAAGCAAGACTTGGTGATTTACATATTGATGATGCAAGTCCACAAAAATGCCAATTCACCAAGTCACAAAACATCTTGACCTCGACGTGCTCTTGAATGAAGCCAGCAATCCCCGACTAAACCATTTGTGGCCTAGTGTAAAGTCGCGACGGTCTCAGCGAACGCGTCCCTCAATAGGCGTAAACCCTGACGTTCGGCCAACTAGTCAACCCCGCCTCTCCAGTTCACAATGTCTGAAGCGACGAGGCCGAAATACGACAATCTCCCAGGCATTGACACAGCACCTGACATTTACGAGACGCCAGAACTTACCGAAGACGTGTCTACAGTACAAGCTTCCACCGCTGTTTCCGAATCAGACTATGGCGATGACGACGACGACAATGATGACTCGGCAGTCCGTCACCAACGCCTGCAACCTGATCAGGCTCGCAATCGTTTTCAGCCTGCTCGAGTAGACGCCCGCGGGGTTGACTTTTCGGACAATATCACCGCGCAGCGCCAATCCTATCGCACATCTACACGGCGCCAGCGGCGGCGGGGCGAGATAATAGGCGATGCCAGTGACGAAGAAGAGGAAAGCTTTGCACAAAAGCTACTACGGATCAAGCGAGAGTTGGCCGCGTTAGAAGATGAATACGAACAGAACATTGAAAGCGGGGACAAGTCCAAGATTGAGGAGCAAGATCCCAAGGAAATGATGGAGATAATAGCGAGCAAGGTCGACACAATTTACGCTGCACATAAAGGTGGCGCTCGAGGTGCACAGGCGATACTCGACCGCACAGTGCAGAAATTCGACAGCTACAAGCCCTTTGATCCCAGTCCCAAGCTCACCAAGGCCATTGCAAACCAGCCGCCACTACCAGGTACACAGGTACAAAGAAGCCAATTGGAATTTGTGTTGAACCAGGCAGCCGAGTTTGATAGGCGCATTACGCAGCTCGAGGGCAGTCTGGGCTTGAATGGAAACACAATGCCCGAGCTGAACGATCACACGCCCTTTCCCATATCAGCCACTCTTACGCGGCTGGAACAGACTATGGGCCTAATTGGAGATGCTGCATCAAACAACCTGGACACGGTCACGCAAAATGTCAAGAAGCTTACGGCCGAAGCAGAGCACTTGAAGGAAGTTCGCGAGGAGGCGGCAGAAGCTGGTGCGGGCTCGAACGATAACAGCTCGGGTACATACCCTGACCAGGAAGCGAAGATCAACGCCTTGTACGGCACTTTGCCTTCTGTTGACAAACTATCGCCCATCCTACCGCTAGTCCTTGAGCGGCTGCGTACACTGCGACTCGTACACACGAGTGCTTGGCAGGCTGACGAGGTCTTGACTGAGCTTGAACGTCGGCAATCGGCGCAGGAACTAGAAATCAAAAAGTGGGAGCAGCAACTCGAGATTTTGGAGAAGGACATCAAAAGGGCAGAGACAACCATGGTGAACAACATCAAGACGGTCGGGGACGACGTGAAGATGCTGGAGGGGAAGATGGCTAAGCTGCTTTCAGCAGACCATGAGGAGTAAGATGTGATGCGGTAGACGAATTTGGAGAAGTACGTCTTGAAATGGTCAGCCACATAGTAGACATACGCACACGTCTTGGCAGCTCGGTTCGCATACCCGATCACGCGGCGTCGATCATGTTCATATACCCACTAGGTGTAGATAGCAGTGTCCTGTGTGGCCAATGCAGAGGAACACGTTGCGTGCGTGTGCAGATCCAGGCCGTGAGGAAGTGAAGAGATATCGTATCAAAGCGAGAGTTTATGTGTTGCGAGCTATCGATGGGTTGCCGTCGGCGGAAGCGTGGTGCCAGCCAACCGGAGCACCTGGCTCTCCGCAACAACACAGCCGTGAAACTTTCATGGCCGCCCTGCAGCCATGGTCTGGTGCTTGGCTGGTGCAGTCGTCATCGGTGAACTTGAGGGGAAAGCATCCATCCAGGGCAACAATCTTCGCCCGGTGGCCGGACAGGGTTAGGTGGACCGACTGTGGTGTGAGGGCGATGGCATGGCATCGGCGATTCTCAAAAAGCTTATGCCGACCAAATTTATCATCGACAAGCTTCCTCTTTCCATTGCCTCCACACCACAGCTTTATTGCCCCGTGCTACCCGTTTGAAGCCCGCCGCTGCAGTCGCAATGGGCAAGCGCAAGAACGAGGCGCCTGCCAACGGCATGGCTAAGAAGAAGAGGGCTATCTCAGACGATGAGGCGCATAAGAACTTCCGGGACGGTCTCTTCGACAGCAAAGTGCTAGAGACATACGCCAACGAATACGCCCACTCGCAGCCGTACGCGTGAACACTGCAACCTGCACCCAGTCCCTTCTGACAAGATTCTAGCTACAAGCACGCCGTCATCCAGAACCTGGTTAACGACACGCTCCTGCGCAATGTCCGCAACGAAATCCGCGAGCACATCCACTTTACGCCCAAAGAGACGGACATCTACAAGATTCACCAGTCTGGTGATCTTGCCAATCTTGACGGCCTTCATGACTCGGCGCTCAAGCGCTTGCCGTCGCTTCTCACTCTCCGCGATTCGCTCTATTCATCCGCATTCCGCAAGTACCTATCTTCGATAACAGGATCCGGACCTTTGAGTGGGGTTAAAACAGATATGGCTGTGGTAGGTTGTGCAAAATGAGATTTAAATGATATGGTGCTGATCGAGAGACAGAACGTTTACACACCAGGATGTCATTTGCTATGCCACGACGACGTCATTGGAAGCCGTCGCGTAAGCTGGATCCTATACTTGCTTGACCCTGATATTGAGTGGAAGGCTGAGTGGGGAGGTGCACTGCGACTGTACCCAACCGAGGATCTCGAGACGCCAGATGGTGACAAGGTCAAAGTACCGCAGCCGGAATTCTCTTTATCAATTCCGCCTGCATGGAACCAACTCTCTTTCTTCACAGTACAACCCGGAGAGAGCTTCCACGACGTCGAGGAAGTATACAGGAGGGGCGCAGAGGAGAAGGTAGAAAAGGATGGTGGGCGCATCCGCATGGCCATCAGTGGTTGGTTCCACATTCCACAAGAAGGAGAAGAAGGCTATGAGGAGGGTCTTGAAGAAAAGTTGGCCGAGAAGAGTTCGCTCGCTCAGCTCCAAGGAGGAAAGGCCGACGTCTTTGATGAGCCACAATCACATTGGGTCGAGAACCCATACTGGGAAGAGCAAGCGAAGCAGGAAGACGATGAGCTCACAGAGGATGAGATTGACTTCCTCATTAAGTTCATCAACCCAAACTATCTCGTTCCAGACACCGTGGAGGAGCTCTCGAAGATGTTTTCTGATGAGTCGTCTTTACGGCTTGCGCAATTCTTGTCAAACAAGTTCTCTGCACGGTTGCGGGAGTACCTCGAATCCAAGGACCACGAGGCGGTGCCTAGCCTGCCCACCAACCCACATCACAAGGAGTCGGTAGCTGGAGTCGCACGCCCACCACATAAGCACCGCTTCCTTTACCGTAAGGCCGTCCAACCCATACCAACGACTCCATACCCTGAAAACGACGGCATGACACCATACGATGACCTTGTAGATATCCTCTTCCCTCATCCCGCTTTTATGAAGTGGATCTCGCTCGTAACAGGTATCACACTAACAAAGAGCAACATTTTTGCGCGCCGTTTCCGTCGCGGTCTAGACTACACGCTGGCAACCGCGTACGAGGACGAAGACCCACAGCTTGAAGTCTGTCTCGGCATCACACCTTCGCGTGGCTGGGGCGATGAAGACGAAGAGCCTGAAGAAGCTGCCTCGGAGGAAGCCTCGCAAAAAAGCAAGTCGAGCAAGAAGAAGAACAAGGCCAGCAATAAGGAGAAGGCAGCCGAGCAGCCCAAACCGGAGGAGGAAGTCGGCGGCTACGAAATGTACATGGCCGGCGAAGACGACTCGGAACATGCCGTGCCCACAACCTCGGAAGGCTCAACCTCGACCGGCGCCGGCCAGCGCCGAAAAGCAAAAGCTGATCCCGCCATCTACAAATCTGCTGGAGATGACGAAGACGACGGTATCTTGTTCAGCCAGCCCGCGGCGTGGAACAACATGGCTATCGTGCTGCGTGACCGAGGCGTACTGCGATTTACAAAGTATGTGAGCAAGAGCGCCAAGGGCGACCGATGGGACGTATGCGCCGAGTATGGGGTTGAATTTGGCGAGGACGAAGATGATGATGACGACAATGATGACGATATGAAGGATGACTAAGGGCTTAGGGAGTTGTGTGCGTAACGACCTTTTTCTTTCTTTCTTTTTGTACCACGGTTCAAAAGGGGAAAAAACGGAAGGGAAAACTTGGAAAGGGGGAAGGGAGGAATATCTCATGGGATTTTGTATGGCATGAGACGGTGGGTGCTAGGCCGCCGTTCTAACCATAATTTGTTAGCATGATCTGCTCGCCCCGGTTGTAGGATCTGTTGAATACTCAAGTGTCAATTGTCTGGGTTTCACTGCTAACTGGTTTAAACTGGTTCAGATCCACCATGTCGAGGTGGTGGTATGGAATGTGGAGTGCAGAGAGAAGAGGAAAGAATACTCACTGCTTCTGCCTTTACCGTCACGCTGCTTACCGCCAAGCTTTAAGCTCCTTTCATGTCTCGTCGGGCAGCGTTGGTTTCAAGCATGTTAGTAATAGAAGCAGTCGGTATACCCACTGTAAAGCCTTTTTGACCTCCGACGAGCTATATATATCATGGTGCTGTCGATAAGTACAACCAACCCGGATGTTACGCCGACAGTTTGTATTTCTAATCCCATCAAAAATCCGATCGATCCAACCCCCATAACAACTAATGTAGATACCAGCCTTCGTCTTGCTCAAATCTGGATGCCTGTAGTCCGATGTAGATGGTGAAGAGACGTTGCGAGTACCCCACTATCTCGGCGATGTTGCCAAAACCATATCGTCGGGATGACCGTGTCCGGCTCTTAAATGGTAGATTGCATGCTGGAATGGACTAGCATTCCCGTAGTGCTTACCATGATCTTGCCGTCTGTTATAGACAATGAGTCAAGTTTGTAATGATCGAAAGTTTTCTGGCCCTGTGTAACTCGTAGTGTGTTCCAGAACCAATTGGTTATGCATAGAGGCTGACTAGTATGTCCATGTTTGTAGAAATGCGAGACGGACTTTTCATTGTGTGGGCGTGGGGTGGGGCAAACGCGAGATCCTGGCAACATTGTGTGTGGCAAGGACCTCGGTATGTCATCGAAGTGCGGATCGCATCAGTACCAAGCGACGAAACACATAGCACAATTCTGAGGCAAGCGAGGCCCCAAAAGTACTGTGATGGGATGATTTTGTCGGGTTGCACGAGCCATGAACTGCGCAAGCAATAGCACCTCATGTTTGATCAACGTGCTTGCTGTTGTCGTGTGCTTGTGAGATTGTGGTGTGAAACTGAATACAATTGCGCTTGGGCCCTGACGCCATAAGGCGAGAACTCCACTTAAAGTTCGATTTCCCAACGTCCATCCTCGCTCCACTGTTGTGGTGCTTAACTCGACTTTCCCCCCCTTTACTGACACGGCGTAGCTCTCTTGCCCACATCCGCCACACTCCGAGACCTTTGCGACGATACAAAAAAGCCTACACCCCCCGAGGCACGTCGATTGCACCCCTAGCCACTTCCTCAACGAGCGTGAACGGCGCACCGATATCGCCGCCATGGGGCTCTCCAAATCCACGCGGATCATGATCCTCTTGGGCATCGACACTGCCTTTTTCTTTGTAGAGTTGATTGCGGGATATGCAGTGCATTCCCTGGCTCTTGTAGCCGACTCGTTCCACATGGTACGTATATGTGGTCGCACGCGATAGTGCAGATACTGACAGAAGCGCAGTTAAACGATGTCATATCACTTCTCGTCGGACTGTGGGCAGTCAAAGTTGCTAGCCAGAAAACCAACTCGAAGACATACACATATGGAGTGAGTTGGCACCTTCATCATGTACGGTACATTTGCTAACAAGACGTAGTGGCAACGCGCCGAAACCCTAGGTGCCCTGATTAACGGCGTCTTCCTCGTCGCGCTATGCCTTTCCATCTTCCTTGAAGCAATTCAGCGCTTCGTCGAACCCCAAGATGTCTCGCATCCCATGATTATCCTCATTGTCGGTTCCTGCGGTCTCCTTTCCAATATTGTCGGCCTCTTTCTCTTCCATGACCACGGCCACGGTCACGGCGGCCATTCACACTCGCACGACGAACACTCACACGCGGAGGAGGGACACTCTCACGGCGCGCATTCTCACGATGACCACGACCATGACCATGTTGTTGCGGACGAGAGCAGTAACATCGCCGTCTCTGTGTCTGTAAAGAAGAACAAGCGTCACAGCCGATCCCAGTCGCGCAACTATGCCACCCTGGACGAAATCTATGTACACCCCTCATCTTTCAGAAATAGCATCATTGAGTCGTCTCGCCTTCGCGACGAAGAGGCTGATGACGAAGAAGACAATGTGGAAGCAGAGGAAGAGCCGACTGAGCGTACTTCGTTGCTTTCCAAGTCTAAGAGAAATGGGACACACGGTCACTCACACTCAAACGGAAAATCCAAGGAGAACCAACACAAGGACCACAAGCACACCAAGCCCAAACAGCAGTCTTCTGGCGGCGGCCATGGCCACTCTCACGCTGATCTCAACATGCGCGGTGTCTTCCTGCACGTCATGGGCGATGCTCTGGGCAACATTGGTGTCATTGCTACTGCCCTGTTCATCTGGCTTACCGACTTCTCATGGAGGATGTATGCTGATCCTGCCGTCTCTCTGCTCATCACCGTGATCATCCTTCTCTCTGCCCTGCCCCTCTGCAAGGCCGCGTCCCGCATCCTGCTCCAGGCTGTTCCTGAGAACATGTCTATTGATGACATCACCGACGACATCAGCGATCTCGACGGTATCGTCTCTTGTCATCACTTGCACGTTTGGCAGCTTTCTGATACCAAGCTCGTTGCCTCTCTCCATGTCCAGGTTGACTTTGACTTCAAGGGCCAGGGCTCTGCACGCTACATGGAACTTGCGCGTCAAATCCGCGAGTGCCTACATGAATATGGTATCCACTCATCGACCATCCAACCGGAGTTCTGTCTCAATTCCAGCCACGACCACTCGGCGCATGGCTCAGACGATAGCGGCGCGGAGGATGCTGGTCGCAGCAGCAGGAACCCGAGTGTGAGAGGCGGACCTGATGCTTGTCTGCTGGAATGTCCCGAGACATGTGGAGGAGGAAAGCAGTGCTGTGACCCTGGTACTACCGGACCCAACGGTTGCTCATAGACATATTGTGTCATTTCTTTTTCTGCATTTCCTTTGTATCGCACGCCTGGGCACTGTCTGTATTATAGGGTTTGCGTGTCTGGTAGCTCAGGTTTTTCTTTGCGTTATCGATGTTGCTTCATTCTGGTGAGCTGCTTTTCCCAACAAAAGCGTGCATGAGATTGTTGTGGATGACCGAGGGGGCGTTTTAGTATCGGCTTTTACGTGACGAGGAAAGTGGCAGGCACTGTATGAATAGTCCAAGAGAGTAATGAGCCGAAGCGGTTTTTTGCCTCGAGCCTCCCATATGCATCAGCCCTCAAGGTTACACCATGCTAAGTGTTGCGGAGTGCGCAAAGCGCGGCTGGCTGCAGGCGGGTCCAACCTAGCCACCGAAGCGGGCAGTATCTCCACGACCCTGAGACAGGGCGTTGTTAGTGCCAGGGATGTCCTGATTCCATGTTGTTGGTCCGCCGTGGGCCGCCACCGCTACTATGTATGTACTATGTATTGACACCCCATCTGCTGATAAGCGCGTCTGCATGTCTGCTAGAATGCTACGGCGTCCCAAGGCAGAACGGGCTTTTGGCGGATAGCCCAGGTAGTTCGCTAGGGGGCATGCTCGGGATTAACACGGGTATGGCGCTTACCACAGGATCAAGGGCGCCACTGACATCTACTATGTCCGTATCTGCAAGTGAGAAAGGCTTGAAGTGCGCCTTCCGTCCTGGGCGTCTTGGCTTCGCGTGACTGTGACGGCATCAGGGTAAGCGAAGGTTGACTTGAACACCACCACACATGCATGTAGCTTGGATCATCACCATATCTTCCACCATACACAGAGGCACAGATGCAATCTATAGCGGACGGCCTAACATTACCGGGGTTGTCAAAGCGTATGGTAAACGGTAGGGCTAATACATGCCCTTTCCTCGCCTAATTCTCGGTGCTTGTGTGGCCACATCCTCCATGCAATCGGTAGGCAGGTCGACTAAATTAGGGTGCAGCTCCACAACGGGACAAATATCTGGCTGATTCACCGTCTGCCCCGTTGTCTTGGAGAAGTTGATCTATCGGTGCCGCCCGAAACAATCTTAACAGGCCGAGGTCCTTTGAGTCGGTCCCAGACACCGGAGAGAAGAAGGCGATGGCCATCATCCTCGTCCGCAATCGGCGCGGAAGTGGGTCGGCATAGCAAATTTTCGCACAAGAAGTGTCATCTGGATGGCAACAGATTCCTACACTATTGTGGTTCGATGTTTGGCCTGATGGAAGGATAAGCGGTTGAAACAATGGGTTGCCGCTCGCTTCCCCCAATGTGTATGTATGTAAGCGGCAGCAAAGGTGGTGTGCGGCCTGGTGACAACGTGCAGCAACTCTAGCCGCATACCGACACAACCGACGAACCACACCGAGCGCATTTGTATTCACTCAATTTCCGGCATGTCGGCACGCCCTGTAGGATGTATAGGATGCCGGCCATTAGTTGGTGTGTCCAAAACACGAACATGAGAGCGTAAGATCGCCAGGTTGGAGCACCGCTTTCGGCAGGTGCTTGCAGCCATGCTAACACACTGGCGAATCGCTAATACGCATGCCGAGTGGCGGCGGAGCAGCTAAGCCGCCAAGGGAAGGCTTTGGCAAGCTTTGCACCGGAGCACAGCTTCTATTTGGTTAAGGGTAGAGCTATCAAGACGTTACATCGCCTTAGCAAATTGCTTGTGCGTGGTTATGCCCCACACCGCGACAACAAGAGGCGAAGAGCGGCGCGGTCTGTTATAGTAAGACGATTCTGTGGATATCGCGCATGCTGAACGAAGGGGGCGGGTTAAATATGGAGGGCACCGTCTTTCTTCTGAACATGCTCCAAGTGGTTTCGGTCCCTTTCTCCCAGGTCACACTTGTTGCTCTTGCCCTGTCTTCCATTGACCTGGTCTTTGGTTGCGATTGAGCTTTGGAACTATGGCGCCCGCTCACGAGACTACCGCGTGAGTTTTACCAGAGTCACTGGATTTGACTCGACTAACCTCACCATAGTGCTGAGGCACTCCAGCACAACCAAGAGGTTGCTGACCATAAGCCCCATGTATACGGTGCTACCATTAATGACTCCAACGTCGCCGGCGCGCATGCTTCTCTCGAGAAGCCTCGCATTGATGGCTCCGACTCCGCTTCCGTCATTATCGAAGAAGATGGCATCGGTGGTGTCAAGCCTACCGCCGAGGATCTTGCCACCCTCCGCAAGGTTGGAGAACCCCTGCCCAAGAGCGCTTTCTTGGTCGCCATTGTCGAGCTCTGTGAGCGCTTCACCTACTATGGCGCCTCTGGTATCTTCCAAAACTACATTGCTCGTCCCCGCAGTGGAGAGCAAGGTCGCGGTGCTCTGGGTATGGGACACCAGGGAGCCACTGGTCTTTCCACCTTCTTCCAATTTTGGTGCTATGTCACTCCGATTCTTGGTGCCATCATCGCCGATCAATACCTCGGAAAGTACAACACGATTGTCATCTTCTGCTGCGTCTACATTGTCGGTCTCATCATCCTTACCTGCACCTCTATTCCTGCTGCGCTCGATAGTGGTGCAGGCCTTGGAGGCTTCATCGTGTCCATTGTTATCATTGGACTAGGAACTGGAGGTATCAAGTCCAACGTTGCGCCTTTGATTGCCGATCAGTATAAGCGAAGGCAGATGGTCATTGGCCGCGATGACAAGACTGGTGAGCGTGTCATTATTGATCCTGCCATTACCATTCAGAGAATCTACATGGTAAGCTCTTTCCAGTCTGTAAAGTTTTTAGGTTGTACTAAACGTCTCAGATTTTCTACTGGTGCATCAACGCCGGATCTCTCTCGCTGCTTGCCACACCTTACATGGAACGCGACATTGACTTCTGGCCTGCATACCTTTTGTGTCTTTGCGTCTTCTTCGTTGGCCTTCTTGTCCTTGTCCTTGGTCGCAAAGTCTACGTTGTCCGCCCTCCTCAGGGCTCCGTCATCACGAACGCGTTCCGCGTAATCTTCGTGATGATCAAGAACCGCAACATGAACGCCCCCAAGCCCTCCTACCAGGCTGGTCTTGGCAAGGAAGCAGACCCCCGCTGGGACGACCACTTCGTCGAGGAAGTCAAGCGTGCCCTCATCGCTTGCCAGGTCTTTGCGTTCTACCCGATCTACTGGGTCATCTACGGCAACTTCTCCACTAACTTCGTCACTCAAGCCGGTCAAATGCGCAGCCACGGCATTCCCAACGATTTGATGCAAAACTTTGATCCCATTGCCATTATCGTCTTCCTACCTCTGGTTGACCAAATCCTTATGCCCACCCTCCGCAAATACAAGATCCGTTTCCCGCCGATCAACCGTATCGTCACTGGTTTCTGGATTGCCGCTTTGGCCATGGTCTACGCCTGTGTCATCCAATACTACATCTACCAAGCTGGTCCCTGCTACGGCAAGCCTACCCTTTGCGATGCCGATCTCGTAAATGGCGTACACCAGGGAAACAACATTCACATTGCAGCTCAGACTGGTGCCTACATTCTCATCGGTCTCTCCGAGATTTTCGCCTCAGTCACTGGTCTCGAATACGCTTACACCAAAGCGCCCCCTGGCATGAAGTCATTTGTTCAGTCCATGTACCTACTTACCAACGCTTTCGGTTCCGCCATTTCCGAGGCGCTGAACCCGCTCCTGTACGATCCCGCCATCATGTGGGTGTTTGCTGGTCTCGCCATCGCTGCGGTTATTGCAGGTGCCTTGATTTGGATCATCTTCCACCACCTCAATGACACTGAGGACGAGATGAACCAGCTTGACCAGGACGTGGATAAAGATCCGGCCATGCGCAAGAACAGTATGAACGGTCAGCACACAATAGATATTGATGAAAAGGCTTAGATGGCCTCAGGAGATAGAGTAATGTTAGCATGATGATAATATGTTGTTTAGGTAGTAGCTATGATACCAAAGATGAATACCGATCTTTTTATTTCGAAACTGCCAGTTCCTGACGACGTCTCTAAAACATGGATTGTCGTGTGGCTGATACAATCAGGGTAGTCTTTGTAAGAAATAAGGTTGGAGCTGGATAAATTGATCCGTATTACGTGAAATGGCTTGTGCTTCTTATTGAGTTGCAGAAGGACCTTTGTGTCCTCGATTATCTAGACATATCATGCCTACATGCTCCTTGTGTAGAAAACCAATTATAGACTGAAACGAAAGAATAGTACAGTCGATAGGTAGCCCTGCTGCCAAGACATTAACCGAGCCATAGCGCGTATCCGCGAACCCATGCCATTGCAGGTCGAACAACTGATCCACTTTCTTTTACTACTTCAACTCATTCTTCTGGACAAGTGAATAGCATACGAGCCTTTTGCGTAGTGCAAGTTTGGCTGTTGCTATACTTATAAATGCTTACGCAGGCAGGCCTTGACCCTATCCAACTAGGCTTCGGAATTCGATAAATCAGCGTTCGGCTAGCTTCCTTTGGCGCGCCGTTTTCCTTTTAGGCCCAGCCCCTGTTCCCTGGCCCTCGTGTTTGCGCAACCAGTCTGCAGCGTTGGGAGTCCAATTCACTAGCCCCTTGGTTCGTATTTTTCCCCGTTTGGATGCCGCGTGTCAAACGTATCTTACACATTGGGCGTAGTAACACGAGGGGTCTCTGTACTTACTGACGTTGCTATTTCCAGTTCATACCACCCCTTTCAGCCCTGTCACGGCACCTGTCATATATCGACCTCTACCCCAGCGCGCATCCACTCTTCTTTTCTACTAAATATTCAGCCTTGCAATAGACGCGCCTGCGCCACAATATCAGTCTCACAAACAGCCACCTTGCCGTGTCGCCAACCGCAGCCATGACTACCTCCATGACTACCTCAACGCCAACCACAACCTACCCCTATTCATACACCACATTTACCAATGCGTCACCGGACCCCTTCACGACGCCAACGGCCATACCTTCCATGTTCCCATGGGGCGGTCTCCCATCCAGCGCATGCCCCGCTCCATCCAACGCCCCCTCGTCTGACCCTGACGTGCCCTATGTCCGCCCCGACGGCAAACTCGGCAGCTGCGTAATCAGCAACGTGGAATCCGTCAACGACCACTCCTTCTGGGACATGTACGACTGCTGCAAGACGGGAAAAATGACCGCAACCGGCGCTACCTTGCCCTGCACTTCCATTTGCTATGCAAACGAGCAGCGCAGTTTCCTCGAGATTGGCGAGTGTCTGAGTAAGAGGAATAAGATTGTTGTATGCAGTCCGCCCGAGGATCAGAGGGGCGAGCCCAAGAGTTCCGGTTCCGGTTCGAGCTTGAGCTCTAGCAGTGCGAGCGCTACTAAAGCGGATACTACGATCGTCAGCGCGAGGCCTACGGCGACGGCGGCCCAGGGCGCGGCGAATACGGTTGCAGGTGGGCAGGGCGCGGCGTCCAAGGCTGGGTTTGTGGTCTTTGGCCTCATAGCATTGTCGTCTGCTGCGGGCATGCTGTTGTAGTCGTGGTGATTGATTGATTGAGTGGTGAATTTTCTAGTAGATTGTTCAATGTATATAATATCAGTTCCGTAGGGATCAGTCTTGGGGGGGGGGTTCAAATTCCTTCTTTGTCTAGCTCCTTGGATTAATTTTGGATAAATATATGAGAAATTAAAGGCATCTCGACAATTGTTCTTTGCTTCACCTCCATCTCTTCACTTCATACACGTGAATACAGTGCTAGGACGGAAAAGCCATCCTCATCATCTAACGTACATGTCCATCTGTCGCCAGTCTGTGGCCTCACCCCTGTCATCTTTTGGCAACGCGGGAAAACACAGCGTTTCAACTCCGTTAATCTCAGTAATCTCGACACATGGACGCTTCGCTTTCAAGCATTTGTCACAAACCCACATCGCCCCGCTCCACTCGGATTTGTTTTTCCCTCTACCTACTACGTAGGTCAAAATACATGAGTCTTCCTCTTCAGGATAGCTCTGCCACCGTTTCACTTTGGCCATATCATCCGAGCAGAACTTATAGAACTGGAAAAGGAGGGCCGATGCAATATATTCATCCATCTCGGATTATTTCATCCACCTGCCCTCTATGCGCACCGAAGCATTCGATATGTACCGGGCCTCCTTGGAGGCCATTTGACTGATATCCATGGATTCTTTTGTCACCTCTAGTGGTACTGCGCATCAAGATGGCCCGACGGGAGGCGATTGGTCTGGCGGGATGGCTCCCTCGCTTTCTGCACTACTGCTAGGCGCCGATGGAAAAGGCGTTAGACTATGTGGCCGTGGCCGTAGGTGGGAAAAGTGGGTGCGCAGCTGGCTCTGGGTACCTTCATCTAGGCGTTGCTTGCCAAGTCGTGCGCCAGGCGGAGACGTTGCCGACATGGGGTTCTGCGTGGGGTTGAACGACAAGCTGCTGTCTGCACTAACGGATGAAGATCGTCTGGATAGCAAAGAACCGAAGTCAATCTCACTGCTAGCCAAGTATCGTTCCAAGGGGCTTACAGAGCTACTCTCCTGAGGTTTCTGTAATCCCTCTTGGGATCCGGATCGTCTAGTACGATTGTTCTCATCGAATGTATCCTCACATGCTATCGTGCTCCTTCCATAACCCTCTTGGGCTCGTGACTCTGTGGTATTCTTTGTCGAGAACGGATTATACTGGCTTCTCTGGTTTGAAGAGGAACCTTGTGACCTACTGGAGGTGGTATCCTGTTGCGCGCGAACTGGGATAAGACTACGCCGTGGTATCGTCGGCGGCGGTATTGATGCGGTATCGCGGTTGGAGCGTCCAGATTGCTGGACTCGACGAATGAAGTCCGAGGCACCTCCTGATGGGGAGGAAAGGCGTTCAAGGTATGGAGAAAGAGGGAATGCCGTAGTTGACTGAGGCGTGCGCGGAAGCACGCTTGGCGAGGATGGCAGAACTGACTGTCGAAGAGTGCTAGACTCTCCCATCGTGGCCCGACGAGAAACTGGAGATCCAGCCCGATCGCCTTGACTAGCAGCGACTATCTGAAAGCTGTCTTGCTGAGAGACAATGGTCTGCCTACGATCAAGCGTAAATGATCGGCCACGCTTGGGGGTGTTAAGCAACGCGGCGAGAGCTGGACATTTCGGAGAACATGGCGACGGCGACGACTCGCTACTAACACGCGTTAAACGGCGTTGCGAGCCCATTCATCTTTTAGGAGTAACTTCCTCTCGATTTCTGGGCGAAACGTGCCCAAGGGGAATTGATGGCGCTCTTTCGTCCCGCTCCTGCCTGACATCGTCCAAGTATTGAGACACAGTGGCGAACAATTGCTTCGCCAGAGTATCGTCTTCATCAGATATTGGGTCCAAAATACGTTCATACATGTCCACTTCTTTAGACTGCAGATAGTTATTCGTACGTTTCTCGAGTTCTTTGTCTTCCCCCTCGGTCGCTTTCAAGCTGTCTAAGGCAACCTGTGTAGTTTTTCTAGAGGCTCAAAGCTCTCCTCGAATCGTTGAGTGACGATTTCCAACTCCTCCTTGAGCTTCTCTAGATCTTTGCGGAAAATGTTGAGCTCCTCACAGGGGAGGATTCGGTCGTCTTAACCCATGATTGAGGTGGATGGCTATGATGAATGGTTGTGGTGACGGAGCGAGACTGGCTTTTTTTATTATATACGCACAGACTGTGCGTTTGTTGCTTCTCACTGCTCACTGCCTGCTAGGAAAAGGGCCGATGGGACCAACGATGCGGAAACTAGTGGAATTGAAAGCCGGCGAAGGCAATTATCAATGATCTACTGATGATATGGATATGCGATCGAAAATTTTGGGTTTAGGACATTTTGGTTTCCATTCCCGTACATTTAGGATGTAGAGGAATATCCAAGGATGGTATTGGTACCTAAACGCATCCTATGCGGCTCAAGGTCGATGAGACACCACTGTATATGTAAGTTTCATGGCCTCTCCGCTGCACGATATACGAAGGAAAGCGCCTTTAGTCTTGTCCAGCAATCTGAAGGCATTAAAGAATATCTTGGTCTCGTGTGGCCCGAAGAAGAGATAGGGTCAGAGTTACAAACGCTCTCGGCCCTACACAATGCTCACCAAGAAACCATCTTCCTTGGTAGATGTAGAAGAACTACTCTTAGTCTTGCGTACCACGAATGAAGGACACGAGGCACCACTATTGTCCTTAATCTTCTAACAAAACGGGTAGTACCACTGGCTCTTTGTGGGCGTGCATCGAGTGAGGGGTACAGCTAGCATTGTGATATGTGGTGAGGACATTACTGAGACGTCTGATGAAGGTATCGTCGGAAACGGGGCTGGCGTTGCACGACCGGATGAAAGCACTGAAAAGTTTCTGGCATCAGGGCCCGTTGAAGGGAGACCGAAGGCATTTGTTCCGGGGTTCCGGGATTCCACTGCCCGGAAGTGGTTCTTACGGCCCTATCGACTTGTGGATGTGTAGAAAGTGTCGTGACCGATCATCATGCGTCAAGAGCTTACCGAGTGTTCTTTCCGTTACTAGTCCTGACGTCAGAGCCAGACTGACGAAAAGTGTGTAGGGTGGGGCTCAAGCGGTGCCTGAGGCTCAGCACTCCGTTGGCGAATCTCATATCGAGTATGCGACCCGACAACTGGGAACTACCTTAGTAGAGTTTCCCTATGGGTTTTTGGCAAAGTATCGTAATGAGTCGACTATCACTGCTTTTGTATCATAGAATAGCCGATAAAGTCAAAATATGCAAAGTTTGCTATTTTGTTTTTGGTAGGATATTCATGGAAGAATGTCTACAAGACGGTAGGTAGTTTGCGGATTAACTGAGCACCAAAGTTCGTTGAAATTTTCCATTTAGTTATCCAACGAGGGACAGAAAAGACCTTGCTAAATAAATACACATCTTCGTGATCCACATCTGTGCCTACTAAAACAATCAGGAGACAGAACGCTCAGTGAACATGACAAGGCTCAGACAGTCCGTATACAGGTTACAAATCCTACATATTCACAAACAACACCCTAAAGCAATATGGGGAGCACTCTGAACCACGTAGCAAGATTGAATCTGCTATTACTGTATAGACACGAAGTAGATTTCCAAATACCTTACACTCCATTGAGCACACTCTGCACGCCAACAGTCCCCACATCGTCTCTCCTAGCAATGAAACCCTTCAATTCCTGCGCATCCTGTCCACCTGCAGCCCTCAAACGGTCCCTGAGTGCCTCTGGCCCAATGATAAACAACGTGCTAACATCTGTCAAAACATCCATAGCACCAGGCTCCAGCTCATCGCCCGTCGGCCATGCTCGCACCAATTCAACATACTGGTTCATATCCTTCGATACGCTTAGACCACCGACTTGTGAAATGGAAAACTTCAGCAAGTGCGCTAGGACGAGGGAGCGGAGACCACGCGCTAGCTCAGCAAGGAAGAGCGAGAGGTTTCGACCAGATAGGGCAGAGGTTGCCTGAGATGCAACACGTGTAAGGAACGCAGAAACTTCACGGCAAGCTTGGGTTTCGCTTGTTACCATAAGGTCCTCTTCCTTTGGTCGAAAATCAGTTTTCTTTTGTTGGGCAAGACATTTGCTCACCCAGTTCAGCGAGGCAGTTATTGTGAGATTGAGGATGTTGGAAAGCTTCGCCTCGAGCGTGGTCATTGTCAGATTAATAGACTTTTCAATCTCGCGACGGATGGTAAGGTTGGGTGTGCACAAAGGCAGGAGGATTGTAGTAGTTGTTTGTTGTAGGAGATGCAGCATTGTGGTAATAGTGTGCAGAGAGGGGAGGTGGGTGAGATCTGGTGGTGTCTTGGAGTTTTCCTGCGATGCGGCATGATCTTGTGCACTGCATTGACGTTAGTTGACATGCTAAATCACAATAGAGGCGATACTTACGCGTCCAGGGCCGTTTCCAAGTACATTTTGCCCATTTGCCGCAGAAGCAAGTTGAGCAGTATCTGCACATCCTTTGGTGTCTCATTGCCAGGCGACAACTCCAGCCCACGTCCGACACCTTCTGCTAGCCACTTGAGCATTCGTTTGGCTACTGGTAGTGACAGTCGGCCATCCTCGTCAGTGACCTCGATATCCTTCTTCTCTTGTTGGTCTTCTTTCAGCCCAGCGATACGAAGAAGAGTAGCTTTCTGGCTAGCTGGTAGCTCAGTGCTTTCCAGACGCTCCATGTACTTGTCGCGAGCGGATGCGGCCAGCTCTTTGCCTCGTTGCGCGAGCGAACCAAAGTATGAGGTAGGCATCTTGCTTCGCCGCGAGTGGTAGATGGTGAATTTGAGAAGCAATGAAGAGTACAGCTCCTCAAGGTTCTTCTTTTCTCGCTCAATGTACTTCTCACCGATAAAGTACGAGGAGAATAATTCCTCCAGTTGTTGGTCAAGCGTAGCCGCAACCGCCGACGTAGCAGGCTCAGGATGTTCTGTTAAACCGTGTGTCTTGAGATCTTCCACGAGCTGAGTAATGTAACTTCTTGAAGCCTGCAGCGAACGCAGGAAAGCAAGCGACGAAAGATCTCCAGCTTTGTCGAGCACCATTTCGAGCCTGGACTGGATAGACTGCTGAAATATGCGTTCCAGAAACTTGATGAGAACTTCTTCGTAGTACGGAAACGCCCGCTTGATGATAGCGGATTCTTCCTGAACGACAATCTTGACTTCGTCAACCAAAGACTGAAGCGTTGGTTCCACGCCAGGCGGTTCGGCATCAGGATCCTGGAGGCGATCCCATGTCTCCAAATCTGTACCAAGATCCTCACCGCTCAACTGCATACGATCGATGAAGAACGAATGCTGGTTGACATAAGTCCCAATGACGCTGGCACCGTCATTGAAGCCTTTGAGAGCAATGGCGCAGTCACGCATCCCAGGGTAGTTGGGACGTGCATAGCATTCTTGAAACTTGCTGAGAAGGTCCTGCTCCAAGTTCTCGAGAAATTTCTCAATGATCTCCTTGGTGTTATGTCTTGGCTGGTGTGTCGTCCTGCGCTTCATCCCATTCGGGACATCGCCATTGACTCGTTGACTGCCGTCTGGATCAAGGCGTGTGCTGATGCGCAGAAGCTGGCGCGCAATTTCAGCACATCGTACGATATCACCGTTCTTCCGCTGATCTTCTAGAATCATGAGTTCGCCTCGTTCGCTGACCTCTTGCCAGCACTCAATCAGGAATTTGGCATCAAGAGCCCTCTTCCGCTGGCGATCAAGCTCTTCGAGGCGCTCTCCTATGCGCATGGCAACGTTGCCGCCCGTATCTGATCCTCCATCGTCGTTTCCATTCAGCGAGTTGTCCAGCCTCTGAAATCTATCCATGGCCTGTTCCAGCCGCCTACCTAGGGACTCAACATTCTGGTTGTGTTGGAGTTCTGCCCGCCGGACGGCTCCAGAGAGGTCTGTCTCCTTCTCCTCAAGGTCCTCGGATAGACTGTTGAGGCTTCTCAGGGCATGTTCAAAGGTTCGGATAAGCGGCTTTGGGTCGAACGTCTGCTGCCCGCCAGCGCCTCCGGATCGTCGTGTCGCAGGTACAGCGGCCTGAGAAAGGTCTTCGATAAAATCCTTGACCAGAAAGTCTTTGCTCTGCGTGAGTCAGCACGGGAAAATCAAAAGAGCTGGGTGGCAGCTTACGGCGAACTTCTCTAGGGTGAATTGCGGTATGCGTATAGAGGTCCTCGAGGTCTGGTGGGTGAGTATAGAAGCGCCATCGGAGCTGACGCGTTGCATGATTATGAGCAAGGCACAGGCCGGAGTTCAAGGACGAGATATCATTCAAGTGGTATGTAAAGCAGATGTGTGTACGTTGCTACCCAGCGAGCCAATGCCGCCTGAAATGGGCTGGGGCTGAGGTTGTTGGTACTGTCGCAAAGCATCAAGCTGCACAAGGCTTCTACCAGATCATGTCTTGGGATGGTGCATGCGATAATCGTGAGAAAGCATTCCCGGTCCAGGGTGTATGTGCACCTGGTAGTAGTAGGGACGAGTGAAGTCGCGACTGTGGCTTGTCGCACCCCACGCCTCGGTCCCTGGCGCAATGCAGAAGCGCCCGCCGAATCAAACCACGGGCAACCCCATGCGCTATGATGACAATGCACCTTTCTACTGTTGTACACAAATGCCTAAATTAGAGCCGTGATTGTTGAACAGCCTCACATCACTTGCGAAAGCTTCCGCGTAATAGCGCCACTGCGCAGGGCGGAGCACGGCAACATGCGCGTACATACCTACGCCTTGGCTTACGCTCGGAAGAGACGGCGCCACACGTATGCACATGCACCAGCCTCACAGGGATATTTCATGTATCTTACATCTGCCCACCCTCCGACCATGGCCAGTTAACGCGAGCATTGACTCTTCTTTTCTATACTTATCAGCTTCTGTCCTGATTTCACGTGTGTAGCCATCGATAGTCCGGCTCGTCCTGTACCCCTTTGCTCAGCACGTCGTCTGCAATGGCTGCTATCACCGGTCTATCATCCAAACAGGAGTCGGCTTTCCGGCGCAAGGAGCTTTCTGCCCAGGAACGCGAGGAACTGCTCAAGCCTTTTCTTCCCACCGACATTTCCGATAGTGATACACAGGCGCAAAAGAAGAAGGCCCTCCGTGAGCGCCGTCGACGCGCATCCCAGCAACATCACCGCAAACCCCTCATCGGCCCGTTCAAAGCACTACTCCACCTCACCATCTACCATGTCGTCGCTCTGCTCTTCAGCATCTTCTTCCGCTTTCGACGCGCCTACCGGCTTGTACGGGGAAAAGTCATCTCGCTCCTGAAATATCATCATCGCACGCCAGAGTTCATAGCGCACGACGTAAAGGACCTGGAGAAGCTACCAAAGCACCTGAGTGTGATTGTAGAATACCAAGAGGACGACGGAAGTCAGGGAAACGCTGGCCTTGAAGGTCTCGTAAACGATGTCTGCGAGATAGCGGCTTGGGCAGCAAGTGCTGGAATTCCGTTTCTCAGTATCTACGAGCGAACTGGTAAGCTAGCAAAATCTACTAATACGTACAAAGAGGCTTTTGAAGTGCTAATAGCGAAACAGGCGTCCTCAAGAACTACCTACCCCAAACCCATGCCAGTATCTGGAACACGCTTGAAGCCTACTTTGGCCCACAACGCAAACCCACCCTCTCCCTCCGCGCACCACATCTGAGCTCATACTCACCACCCGACACTCCCCCTCAGTCGGCTGAGCCAAATGACCCAAGCCTCAAGCAAGAACGCCAGCACCTCACTGTACTCCTCTTGTCGGAACATGACGGCCGAGATACTATTGTCGATTTGACTCGCACCCTGGCCGAAATGGCGCAAAAGGGTGACGTGCGACAAGAGCAGATCAACATGGATTTGATCGATGCACAGCTAAACGACCACGTCTCCAGCGAGCCAGACCTGCTGATTCTGTTCAGTCCAACGGTTCAATTGAAGGGCTACCCGCCATGGCAGCTGAGGTTGACCGAGATCTTGTAAGTTAATTCGCTTATCGCTTTTGTGAGGCCCAGCACTAACAATTCCTCCCAGTCACTTGCCAGACAACAAGGGCGTCAACTATCAAGTCTTCCTCCGAGCCCTATACAATTTCGCTAAGGTCGAGATGCGCCTCGGAAGGTAGCGGGTGGATATGGTTTTGGAGTCTTTTCGTGCATAATAGAATACCCAATTTGATTATTTCCGCATTTGATCATGTCGTTTGCCATCTTGCACTCAAAAATAGACCACACAAGTCGTCAAAAGCAACATTCACAACTCATATCACACATCTTGTACAAAAGAACATATGTGGAGGTATCTCGAATCTGATGGATGGTAATCTACACCATGTCCTCATGCTCGCCGTCGTCTTTTTGTGTACGTCATAGCCATCGAGAGTAAATGCACCTAACACCTGTATTCGTTGTAGGTCGTCAAGTACATTGTCCGCCCCACTAAAGAACCCATGCAACCATAACCCAGTCGTTTACTTGAGAGGAATGAAACGGGAAGAGTGAGTAGCACCAATACCGGGCCTTCCGTGCTTGACTGGCCTGTATGAAATGGAGAACTCTGCGAGGTAGTGGCCGACCATCTCGGGCTTGATTTCGACCTGGTTGAACTCCTTTCCGGAGTAGACACCGATAACGCTGCCAATCATCTCGGGGACAACGATCATGTCACGGAGGTGGGTCTTGACGAGGTCGGGCTTCTCGTTGGGGCGGGCCTCCTCTGCGCCATGTTAGCCATCTTATCCTGCCCATCAAGCCGACTGTGCTCCTTACGCTTGGACTTCCTAAGCTTCTTGATGAGACCCATGGGCTTGCGCTTGAGACCGCGGTTGAACCTGCGGCGGGCGCGGGCGTGGACGAGGTCACGGAGCTCCTCAGAGCCGAGGTCGAGGAGCCTGCATCGCAATCAGAATACCGCTATCATTTATATTGATCCCCAGCGTAGGGGGGTATCGAGGGAATCCGAAACGTACTGGTCAAGGTCGACACCGCGGTAAGAGAACTTGCGGAACGCCCTCTTGGCCTTAAGGGCTGTTCATCTCGTTAGCCATGCTGTGCCATCAATATGCCCATCTGTCGCTGCGGATGCGGGGGAGAGGCTGGGGAATGGGACAGGAATGCGTACCAGCTGCGGCCTCGGGATCGTAGTCAGCGTCAGCCATGTTTGCGGTTGTCGAAGTAGCTGATGGGGGGAACTTCGTTAGGTCGTGGGTTGTCGGTCGTTCAATTATCGATGGGCAAAGGGAATTTCGAGGTGTTGCCTGCCTCGCTTAAGCGAGCCGTTAGCGTGCCACTACGTCCATGCGCAGCTGGACCAACACCAACATCACTATGTTCACACTTGCAACGAATAGTAAACCTTGACTAACTTGTCGCATGATTTTGCAATGCAGGATTGTGTGCTGATGATGCAAAACCTTGATCTCCAAAAGGTGGGTTACAACCAGCGCTGCAGCTTTCATTGAAGACAAAACCTTTGAACTGGTCAAAAGTGACTGCTCGAGATCACTATAACAGTCAGGTCATTGTCTTCATGCACTATGATGCTCATATGCTGATCTATTTGTAGATTTGAAACCCTGACTATTAAACATTTACACCTTTTGCTCTCGCTCTCAACAAGTATACATCAGTGTAAGATGCACAGACACATAGTCACATTGAAGAAAGTCACAACGTCGATGTAATTGAGGGTGCATGGCTTCATTGTGGGTATCTCAGCAGGCATCTATGAAAGCATTGCCGCACAGTCTTTCTCCATATCCCATCCATCGCGCGCTCGACACGCCCCAAATGCTCGGACTCGTTGCGCATGATTCTCGTGATTTTTGAGAAATTGGCCAGATCATACATCGTAAACAGAGATGGATTGGCGATACGTTTAGTCGAAGAGACCGAAACCCATGTCCTCGTCGGACTCCTCCTTCTCCTCCTCCTTGGCGGCGGGAGCCTCCTCGGCGGCAGCGGCACCGCCAGCGGCGGCACCACCAGTGGCGGCAGCAGCACCACCACCGGAGCCACCAGAGGGAACGGAAGCGAGCTTCTCGGATCCAGAGGCGATGAGCTCGTTGATGTCCTTGCCCTCAAGCTCGGAGATCAGCTTGTTGAGGCGCTCGTCATCAGCCTCGATACCAACGGCGTTGAGGACGGACTAAATTTCATTAGAATTCCTGTTGAAAAAAACCCCTTTCATAAACCATCATACCTTGACATCTTCGGCGGAAGGCGAGGTGTTACCACCAAGGCCGAGGAGGAGGTATGCAGCGAGGTGCTTCATTGTGATGGTAGATTGGTGGTTTCGGTGGAAAGGAACAGGAGTTCAATCGATTTAACCTGCGCCTGTCAGTATTGTGTCGCTGGGCGCAAACAACAGTAAGTACGCACCGCTTGTGGCCGGAGACTGAATCTACAAGTTCTCGCTGTGGTTGTCGAAAAGAAAAAGTTTCTGGTCATAGAATATTGACTCAAGGTGGGATCTCGCTACCCAAGCCATTCCGCTGTCGGACTAGCGCGAGATGGCCGTATCGTCACGTGAAGGCTGACTAGGCGCAAAGTCAAGGTATAAAACAGGCCCGTCTGCGCCGTCGCTGTCCGCTCATTCTCTGGCCGTCCATTCTAATCCACCGGTCCCGTGCGCCTTGCCTTCTCTCTGCGCGCGCGACCACCCTCCGCCGACTATCAATACCGGCGATTTTTACTAGGAAAGCATGTACAACTTGCCCTCCAATCGAATCGACGAGCGGTAACACTGAGTCAAACGCTTATCAGTTGCCTACCATGAGCGTGAGCTGCAGCAGACTGCCCGCAACATCTCCCGTGTGCTAACCGTGTCTTCCAGTCACTCAAAGACATCATGTCGATAATCGACCCGAGCGCAAGGTCCGCAGCAACAGCATCAAAGCAAGGTCCGCTTGGCAGTGCCCCTAAACCAGCGCCGCGACCGGTTGGAGGGGCGAACGGCGCGTCTCAAGCACCGCAGTTGAAGCGAAAGGCATCGGGTCCTGTTGAGAATGGACAGACAAAGGTGCAGAGAAAAGAGGCGGTTGGCGGAATAGCACAGGCAAATGGCGCGGTTCGTGCCACGTCGTCACCTGCCACGTCAAGACCTTCTTCGTCTACGCCTACCACCTCCGTCCCTTACCGCGGAACCGCTGCGCCCTCGTCTTCGAAAACAGCAAACCCACCTGCCCGAAAGCCTCTCCAGTCATCAAACACACCCGCTACTACAACCAAGGCCCCGGCGCCTGCTCCCAAACCTGCTCCGGTAGCCACCGGCCCCGCACCCGCCTCGAATGCCGCACCCAAGAAAGGTTATCTGGCCATGCTCCAGAAGGCCAAAGAGAAGGATGCCAGCAAACCCGTAGCGCCACCGATCAAACATGAGCCTACAAAAATCTTGACGCGGAAGGAGCGGCTGGCGCTCAAGGCAGAAGCAGGAGTAAAAGGCAAGAAACCTGTCGCCGGACTGCCGTCGAAGCCTGCAGATCCCAAGGCGGATCCCTCCAAAGAGAAGAAGAAGGTCGAAGTAGGTTATCAAGGCACTGCACGGCCGGCTCGGAAGCCTGTTGAAGTTGGCTACAAAGGCACCGCTCGTCCCTCCAGTGCACCTGTAACGTCGAGTCGCAACGGCACACCGGCTGCAAAACCAAAACCCAACCCAACCAAGGGCCGCTATGACGGATATGCAGACTGGGATGACCTTGACGACATGGACGACGATGAAGAAGACTATGAATCCGACGGCTCTTCGGCCATGGAGGGAGGCATATGGGATGTCGAAGAGGAAGAACAGTTGGCACTCAAGGCTGCCAAGAAGGAAGATGCTGAAGCTTTGGCAGAAGAGAACAGGCTCAAGAAGGAGAAAGAGGAGCGAAAGAAGAGGCTGGCAGCAATGGCAGCCAAAGCAAAAAGAAAATATTAAGGATCTTCGGCGTTACGGTTCACGATTCCACGGCATGGGGGCGTTTTACCTGCATTGTTGCGATTGCATAGCCATGGAGCGGATCTCTTTTACCATGGCGCATTCACGATTGTTACATACCCCGAACAACGATCCTGTCTTCATAGTACGTGGCTCAGATGAAGAGACTACACATAGTTTATATTTGCAAGCGATAACAGTTGGTAATACAACCTGCAGTTTCGGTTCGATATCTCATCTCATCTGCAAGTGCTTTTAGTGCTTATGAATGGTCTTCGAATGGTCGTTTCTCCTTGGTTTACAGCTCCCACATTATGACGCATCAATGTCAACGGGTTCAAATGCCTCCGCGGTCAATCACATCCACGCGATTGTCCTTGGAAGCAGAATTCTTGTGCCAGCACAGGCACAAACGACGCTTGTTCACAATTGACCATAGGGTAGTATCAAACAACGCATCATGGATTCTTGTCAAACACCTGGATTCATACTTCTAGCCTGTTCAAAGCTTTCAGCATCCGTAACACCAAGTTATTTTTCACCATAGCTGAAGAAATGACAACACTCTATCAGCGACTAGCACATCCATTCCGGCGCCCCGTCCACTATTACACGATTGCAGAGCCCCCTCTTACGCCTGAACAGCTTCAGAGGCAACGGGAGAAGGAGAAGCAAAGAATACTGGACAGGATTGAAAATGATTTGGACGATGGGTGGGTCAGGCCAAGAGCTAGCAATTCTTCAGACAGCCTTCCCGTGATCATCGACAGAGGCCCATACAGGGGGTGTTTATATCCAAAAGATCAACTATATTTCAACAGTGTCATGCTAGTAGCGGATTCAGAACCGAGATATGCTGGCCCACCTGATGCAGAGTTGAGGCAAGAGACTCAGAGGACCCCAACTCAGCGTCCAAATGGCAGCAATCATAAGGGCCCCTCCGCACAACCCGTGCCTAGCGAATGGATGGCCACTTTGAGGAATGCAAAGGACCCCAAAGAATGGGAGGGACGAAATAGCATCAATCTCACACCAGCGCGTGCTAAGCCCTTAAGTAACATGCAACCGCCCCCAAGATCGCCATCGCCGCCTCGAGGACCGATCACACCCGGCACACAAGAGTGGGACAGGTTCATGGACTTCCCATTAGATAATCCCTACCACATATATCATAACGATGACCGTAAGCAGTCTCATGAGGATCTTGCCGTTTCGAATGCCCCGATCTTATCAAAACCAACAGCTGTGACCGAACCACAGGCCCCTTTGCGATCCCATAACATCCATGCTCGTTCAGAAGCTCAATTGGGATATCCTGTACTGCCGATCCCGACAAGCATCTCAATAAAACCGCTTGATATCCCATCGATCCAATCTGGACCGACGCAATCACTGACATGGAAATCAGCATTGAAGAGTATTCTGTTCCACGAGGGAGTCGACCCTGCGACGAAAGCTTCGGTTAGGGAAAAGGCGCAGTGTAGCTCTATCATTGGAGGACTAGAACACCAAGAAACGCCTCTCTTTACCCCTACAGACGTCAGCCTGGTGCCAAATTTCAGCTACCCGATCGCTGCAAGTGCATTTTACGACCGCATTGATGCGGCACAGACACCTCGGGCACGATCACCTCAAGAGAAAGAGCAGCGATACGAGGAGCTGTTGCCAAATAGTGTTTGCTCTGAGCACCATAGTCATGCAAGCTCAAATGAGACACTCTATCGTGACCCATCGCCTTTGAACTGGCCCTTGCGAGGAGGGCAGGGCAGAGAACATGTTGCATTGACGAATGGTGTCCCGCCAGGGTACTACTCATCGTCAAGCTCTAGTAGCTCTAGCGACACTACCCCCGACCCTCGCCCGAGCTCTCCGTTTCCTCCCAATCTAGTACCAGAAAAGGTATCTGTGTTGCTCTGCTCCCTCCTCACATCGCCAGAACTCACGCTGCACCGTCAGATAGTCCATGAGACAGCGCCTGTAGGTACTTCGTCTCAATCTGGCCTCGAGACACATGCACGGCTCATCAAGAAACTCACCGCCACCGTCTATGGGCTTCAAGACTGCATCGCCGGACTAGAGGACAATCTCGTACCGCAACTCAGCATATATCTCCAACAAAAAGACCGCGAGATCGATGATCTGGATGTCGAAATATCGCGGCTCAGAAATGAAATCACTGAGCTGAGGCGAACCGTAGATTTCGGTACCGGAATTCTAAGCCAATGCCGAAATTGCGAATGGGAGGTCTGGCACACATTGCTTGACATTCAACGAAAGCGCGAAGAAAGGCGTAGTTCTCTCTCACGTGTCTTCTCTAGAACAAGATCGGGTACGGTGCAGTATGCTGTGGCCAACCTTAATGCGCCGCAACCCAGTGTAGCTCATGCTGTGTCTTCCAGAAGTGCGAACATGGGTGTTCTCAAGAAAAAGGAAATCAATGCCCTTCTACTTACGGCAAAGCAGAATGTTGAAATGATTGACCAGGACATGAAAGAAATGGCGAGGATGGTGCAAGCGTATCCAACGAGGAATGGGGACGCTGAAAAAGAGGAGGAGTAAATAAGAGGGCGTGAGTAGGATTTTTGATGGGCTGGTGACTCCGGATAGACTAGTGATTTGTTTGATTGTACTCCAGCTACCTGATTATTCTCCTTGTAGCAAGCTCGCAGCTGCTTAGACAGCGAAGAGAGATGCAGCTGCCATTCCGGGTCACACTTTGACGACTACCGAAAAGCTAAATGTGTTGCGGAAAGGCGTAGATGTTCATATTGCATCTGTTGGTGCATCACTCGAAAACAAAGTTGACCGGCGAGACGCAACCTTCTCTGTTACCATCATGATCAAGAATACTCATCATCTAAATTTGAAATTTAAACAAGGCAGCATACTGCTATGCGGACAACATTTAGTTACCAAAGCTGAAACACAGTCCCAACCGGCCTACGAAGGGCTGATGCGTTGTTGATATATGCAGAACAACAGCGCCGCTTACTCGACACTTCCACAGTGAAAGACCCTTAAAGCTTGGCGCCAGACAGCCGCACAACGAAGGCGACATAAACAGTTTTCTCTCCCCTCTCTTATTGCACCCACCACCCAAAATACACCACGCTGTCTCAGTATGGTAAAATAACATCGAATCGGATCACTTATCACGTCCTACGAGATAAGAAACTCCTCTGATACTGAGGACGAGATTCATGATAGCGATCATGAGGCCAGCATCAAGCTTGCACAGGCTGCTCAACAGTAGTGATCAAAGGACCGAGAAGACATTTTGAAAAAGATGAAGAAACTGGATACCCGGGTCAGAGAGCACAAGCTCGTCTAGCAAATAATCGACAAGGCAATGGCTGAGAGAAGACGAGAAACCAAAGGCAAGTAACGCCCATAAAAAGCATGAGTCCCGCTGACATCTCCACAGATGCCACAGATATTACTATTGCTGAGCTCAAAGCAGAGAGTGACCTTCTAAGCGACAATCAAGCGAGGCTGGAGGCCGTCATCGATGACCTCGAAGATCAAGTGGGCACTTGGGAGGAGAATCATATTGATTGCCAAGAACAAGCAGACCGGATTACGCGTCTCGAATAGAAGCTGGGCAAATGGGAAGGTCACTACGACTGCGACAGTATTATCGCCTGTTTGAGGCGCCAGTTAGACGAGCATGAAAAACGATCAGAAACACTAGAAAGTGTCGAAAAGCAGCTCGAAGACTATCAAAACTGTGGACAAACAATCAAACGGCTCCAGCAAGAGTCGGTGAGATTGGAGACGGAATTTCGTACAAGTGCTGCGACGATCAAAGAACTTGAGAAAAAGCGTGATACAGGCAAAACATAGCAGGAGAAGTATGAGGTTCAACAAACCACAATAACTGCTCTGCGGGAGTTGTCTGAAATCCTTCAGATAAGGATCGGAAGACTGAAGGAGGATTACAAGGTGTGGAAAACAGAAAACGATGTGCTGCAAAAGCAGTGTACGGTTCATGAGACGACCATTGAGACGCTCCGACAGAGACACTTACGTGATATGAATGATCTAAGGGCCCAACTTGCGGAACCTAATCTACACCGTAGATGCGGATAAAACGTTGCTTCGCTAGAAAAACGACTCAAGCTTCAACGAAGTGCTATGGAGCAAGAGGCGTCACCGGACCAACCCTCAGTCGCCACGTCGGGTGAACCTGTCATAGCTGAGAACATGGCGTTGAAGAACGTTATCAAGCAGGTCGATAGAGACGTAGTATCCTTGTGCAAAAACTTGCGCAACGTCATGGTCTCTTTCAAAAGGCCCGGAGAAATCAAGGAGAAGTACCTCCAGTTGGGGCGCGTGGTATCGAATTGGCGACACGGCGACATCATGAAGTAGACCGAAAGCAACGATTCGCCGGCACCACTTCAAAACTTGGCCAAGGAAGCTCTAATCAGCTACGACATCATTTCTACATACCATACGCGAATGATAGACATACTCAAAACAGAGACGGAGAAGGTAAAGGTGCATGAACAGGCCATGCAGAGCCTACAGAAAAAGTCATGACATGTTTAGGCAGAACTTCTTGACGCTGCTTGGGAAGGCCGAGGATGAGAAAGAGCGTGCAAGAAGGCGAGAGTCTGAACTTTGGGAGATGATCGAGCTGAGGAATAGCATGATTCAGCTGAGGGAAGAGATCATTATTCGCCTTATCGAATATCTCTCTCGTGCTCCCTGATACGGGAATTGCAATACCACTAGGTGTTTGATGATAAGTTCGCACTGAGCGACTACCTGTGTACAATAGCAAATAAGCTTTCTTCTTCATGGTCTAGCCCTCAGTCTGAAATTACCTCAAACATTGCAGTAAAAAAAAAGTGATGAGTGACTTACTGTTTGACCCCCATGAAGCTAGCGCTAAAAAAGGGGGGAGGGCTAGTATGTACTCCATGTTTATACACATTTCAGTACCCTTGCCCACTTTTTTACCTCCATACCAACAAAATCAAAACTATCATTGCGACAAGATGCCTACAGACGTACAATTGCTTAAAGCCAAAGCATATTTTTCTTCACGCAATCTGCATCGAGCGATACAGACGTAGTACAGGTATTGGATGGACTTTCGGTTCCCAATAGAGAGAGAGATATATATACTATCTCCCATTACCCAAAACAACTCTTAATTTGGTTTTTCTTTCTCTTCCTCTTTCACACAGATCAAATAAAATCTCGCTGCTCTTATCAAGAGTTACAGCACCATCGCTTCGCCAATCAGATACAGCCATTCTAAAAATGCTAATCGTATGTACAACTAAACGGCTATGATCACGTGCCTCACCTCTACACAAATCACTCAACACAACACTCAATTGATACAACAAGACCCACTTAAAGGCCTACGTGTATACGTACATGCTAGTCATACCCCCTCCCGCCAAGCCACTAGCCACATGCAGAAAACCGTAACAATCAAGTAAGTTTTCGTATAGTTAACTATACATTTTTTATCTAATGTTACACTTTCTATTGGGAACAGGGGGTATTTTCTATATGCACCTTATCTTTCCCTTTCCCCTCCCTATCCCAGAATAACAAGAAAAAGGAGAGAGGCCATGGTATTTGCAAAGTTTCTTTTTGGGTAGCTATGTGACTTGAAAATAGAGTAGAGAAAGAGAGACAGAAAATCTCGTCTCATATTTACTCCTTCTTTGCATTAACAGCATCGGCAGGCTTGTCAGCCTTGCCGGTAGGCTCATCCATTTTCCTTGCACGGTCATCTTGCTCGGCGCGCTCAGCACTTCCGCCCAAGCTCTCGCCGGTGCTAGCTTCGGCTTCTTTGCTTTCTTCAGTGGCCTTGGCTTCCTTTGCCTCATCGGCATCCCTTGCGGGCTTTTCGGCCTCGTCAATGTCGTCGTGGTCCTTGGGCGAGGCAGCGGCCTTGTTCTCGACCGTCTCTGTCTGCTCATTCTCTTCGTTGATGAGTTCCTGCTGCTCCTTGAGGACTTCGAGACGCTGCTTGTTGGTGGCGGCGCCTTCAGCGTTCCGGACCTCGAGGTCCACCTCGTGGTAGAGTTCCTCGGGGATGCTGGAAAGAACAGCCTCCAGAGCATCAATCTGGGATGTCATTTCTGCGTCCTTGCCCTGTGCGTATGCAAAGGCATTGGAAAGCACCAAGAGGGTTGAAGGGACACCATGCTTAAGACGGAGATCAAGCCAGCTTGTCAGGTCATCCCGTAGCCTGCCAGGAGAAACGCCGTACGTTCGGATACCGCGGCTTGCACACGCAGTCTGAAGCTCGGGAACCGAAAGAGTCTCGACGCCTTCATAGGCAATGGCCCTGTCGTCACGCTTGATCTGGCGCATACGAACCCTGATTTGGTAGCGCAGGAAGTTGTCGGTACCAAAGGAAGTGATGTTCATGTAGCGGCAGATGGAGACGAGCTGCGGACGAGACAAGTTGTCAAGAGTCAAGTCATCCTTGAAAATCTTGCAGACCTTGATGATTTCCTCTGGTGTTGGCTTCTCGCCGGTTGTGCGCACCTTTCGGAAGAATTCACCAAACTCGGCTGTCTGGGCATTTTCGGGAGAGACTGGCAGACCGGTTTCCTTTAGAGTCTGGCGAAGGAAGTCGCTAACGTCCTTGCGGGTTGCTCGGAGGGTTTGGGCCTTGGTATCCTTGGCTGATTGGCCCTCGTATGTGCTGGGAAGCATGTTGGGGAAGAGCTTGAGCGCTACGGGAAGAAGCAACTCCGCGAACGGCACGATGACGAAAGGCAGGAAGGGAACCAAACGGGCGAGATCCTGGACTGTACGTTGCAGCTAGGTCAAGTTAGCATTGTGCATTTGGATTGGCTTGAGCAGCAAAAGAAAACACACCTGTCGACGCTCTCGTCTAGTGAGCTCGTAACCAGCAGCCATCTTCAAGGCAAGCTTGGAACTAATCTTGATCTCGAAACCAAGCAGTTTGGTACCGTCCCAGTAATGTACCAGCTCCTTCTTGACTTTTTGCCAGACGGTAAGCTTCTTCTTCTCCTCGTCCTTCTTCAGCATGACCTTCTTCTCCTCCTTAGTTTCGGCTGCTGCCTTGTCTGCGCCCAACTCCCTGATCGTCTGGACATCTTGTGCGGATGTCTTGGCGTGTGCGGTTGGGCCAGACTTGGGGATGAGGGTGTCTTTTTCGAGCTGGGGTTTGGCTTGCTGGGGAGCCTTGTCCTGGTCCTGCCTGGAGAGTGGTTGGCTTGCTTTTTTGGGGTCGAAGCCAGGGGGTGGGTAGTTCTGTGCAGTGTTGGATGACGTCGACTCGGTCTGTAGGGCTCGAAGCGGGATGAGGATGCGAATTGCAGGCGAGGAGCGCAGCATGGGGCGATGTGTGCGGGTGGTGGTCCTGATGCCTGCTCTGAAGACTGCGGGCGCTGCCCGGGAGGCTGTTCTGCTAACGTACATTGCGCCGGGACTGGCAGCAAAATAAAAAGGGAGCGATGTGGATATTGTACAGCGATTAAAGTATGTACGATTGGGAGAGAAGCAGCATATAAAAGATGGAAAGGAGATGTGGGAAACTGACGTGTGATGGGGAAAGTGGACTGGATTATGCAGTTGAGAAAATGGGCCTGCTCTGACGTTGCCGTCTTTCGGAGTTAGGCCTAGGGAGTTTTCAGGGACCGGCGCACCAGGGCGATCCAAAGCTTGGCCGCCACCAACGGGGCCTGGCACACACTGGCACTGGCACTGGCCTGCGTATCCATGACGGATGATTAATTGCGCCTAGGAACAGGCCGGATACACATACATGCTATGTATGAATCTAGACGCAGGCCGTGCAGGTGCTCCGGGGACTATCATCGGGTATTATGCGCCCCCGTTAAGCGCAAAGTAGCCATTGTGGTCATGGCCGAGGCTTTACCGTGGTCGATGGCCGATGGCCGCAACATCGACAGTGGTTTGCGTGAGCATGCGATTCAGTTCTGGGCCTTGCCGTCCCCTCCTCCACGTTTACCCGACGTTGGTCAGCGTGTTGTCCTACGAAAAAGGACTTTGGCCGTGTCGCCGTTCTCCATCCTCCTCCTCCTCCTTCTCCTTCTTCCTTCTTCGCTTTCCCCAGATCGCTATTCCCTTCCCCCGACCTCCGCTTACAATGGACCATTTTTAATATTTGCACATCCGCCGCGAAGCCCGCCGCGCTTCACTTCTCGTACCGACAAATACCCCGGCATACATAGCCATCGCAGCCCCCTCTCCCCCTCTACCCACCCACGGCCACCTTCTCACACAGTACAACATAATGCACATACCAAGTTTAGCAAGGGCGGCCAGAATCATCCTGGTAGGCGCGCCCGGTGTTGGCAAGGGCACTCAGACGGAGCGCTTGATGACCAAATTCTCTCAACTGTCGGCAATCAGTTCTGGCGACCTGCTGAGGAAGAATGTGAGGGAGCGGACTCCTCTCGGTATGCGCGCTCGTTCCCCGCGCTAGGAAAAAATAAAATAAACCAATGCTGACCTATCGCAGGCATCAAGGCCGAGTCGACCATGAAGTCCGGAAAGCTGGTGCCAGACACAATGATCCTGCGCCTGATTGTGAATGAACTGACGACGCGGGGATGGATACGGGACAATGCGCTGCGACCATATGCCCTCAACTTCAGTTCCATGGACATGGCCGACACTACAGTTGACTCGGTCATGATTCCGTCCGAGGTGCGGGCCCCGCGCTACACCTTCTCCAACCACCCCTCGGCATCTTTCATCCTCGACGGCTTCCCACGCACTGCTGCCCAGGCGATTCAACTCGACAACATTGTGCCCATCAACATGGTCGTCCATCTCAACACGCCTAGTGACATCATCATCGACCGCATCTGCAATCGCTGGGTGCACGAACCCTCGGGGCGCGTTTACAACACTACGTTTAATGCGCCAAAGGTGCCGGGCAAAGACGATGTCACGGGTGAACCGCTTACGCGACGCGCAGACGACGACCCAGAGGTGTGGAAGGCGCGTCTCCAGAGCTTCAAGGAAACCAGCGAGCCTCTGCTTGAGCACTACGACAAGCTGGGCGTGCTGTGGACCGTGAATGGAAACAGCAGCGATGAGATATCCCCCAAGCTCTTCAACGAGTTTGGCAAGCGCTTCGGTGCTGAGCAGTAATGTGTACGCACTAATGGGCTTGAGTTACGAGTGTTTGATTATGTCACGATGATACCGTTACACTTTTCTGGTTTACAGACCAAGGGTTTAGGGTGGCCTTCTGTATTAAGCATGAATGTATCTGACCATGCACGCGACAAGGGAGCGCGTTTGCTTGGATAAGTTGCGTATTCCGCATTCACTGTAGATATTCACCGACTGTGGTATGATTGCAGGCCTGTTTGCACTTAGCTGAGCAGGAACGATTGATACTTGCACACCAAATACGCTCGTTGAGCCTTTGAATACAGACCTTGTGACCACATGCTGCTGTCAAGTGTTGATGACTTTGAAGCAATGTACGAGCGGATCCGGTGCCGGTCGCTCATCTGGGAGGGCGAGGGTGCGGGCGAGAGCCCAGGCCACCCTAACACTGCCTCTCCAACCGACGTCACCGACTCAGCTCCGAGCTTACTAGGACCACAGCAGACAGGAAGCCCTCGCGATCAGTGCAACGATTTACTAGACGAGCTAGACTACGACTGCCTAAGCGACTTTGAAGAGTTCACCCAGAGTTGCCTGATACTTACCCGCGATCCAAACGCACCCCGCAGACGCGCAATGGGGGGCGACTTCAGCGAAGGGCGCCTAGAGACGTTTGTCGGCAGCCCACAGAAAGAGTTGGCAGGCACCCAGAATCAATATGTCTCCTACCTTGTGACCACAAAGGTTGGTACCTTGGCCCGTACCTGCAGTTCTGTCTTCACGTAGCCCATCTCTAACACCTAACCCCACCTATAGTCCGACTTCCAGTCCTTCCAGAAGCCCGAATTCTCCGTGCGCCGCCGCTTCACAGACTTTGTCTTCCTCTGGAAACAGCTTTCCAAAGAGTATCCACAATGCGCCGTCCCTCCACTACCCGACAAGCACAAAATGGAGTATGTGCGCGGAGACCGCTTCGGTCCGGACTTTACACAGAGAAGAGCCCACTCCCTGCACCGCTTCCTTAAGCGGATAGCGCTGCATCCTGTACTGCGAAGAGCCGTACTTGTCATCAACTTCCTCGAGAGCCCAGATTGGAACCAGCACATGAAGGGAAGATCGTCGAGGGCAGCAAGCGGGTCTGACCAAGGCAGCGGCGGCTTCGTCGATGCCATAGCAGACACATTCGTCAACACCTTCACCAAGATACACAAGCCGGACCAGCGCTTCATCGAAGTCAGCGAACGGGCCAACAAGCTCAGCGAAGACTTGAACAATGTCGAAAAGGTTACAGTCAAGGTCGCCCGGCGGCAGGGAGACTTGGAGACCGATTACGCCGACCTGGCGACGCAGTGCCAGAAGCTGACTACCATGGAGCCCGTAGTCGAGGGCAACCTGACCTCGTTCGCCGCTTCTGTCAACACCACCTCACAGGGCTTCAAGTCCATTCGCGATCACACAGACCAGAACTACTTGACTAGTTTGCGAGACATGGACGCGTATATCCAAGCCGTGAAGACGCTTCTTCGAACGAGGGAGGGCAAGCAGCTTGACTTTGAGCAGTTGAGCGAATATCTAGCCAAGTCTGCTGCGGACCGTGATTCGCTGGCTAGCGCAACTGGAGCGGGCATGGGTGCATCTGGCTTCTTGCGATCCAAGGTTGAGGATTTCCGAGGCATCGATCACGACCAAGCGCGTCGGCAACGGGTCCGCAAACTCGAAGTCGAGATTGAGCGTCTGACGGGCGAAGTGGAGCTTTCAAAGAAGGCCAGCGAGGCATTTGATGAACACACTGTCAAGGAAGTGGCTGATTTTGAACGCATCAAAGCCATCGAGTTCAAGGACACGCTCGGTGATCTGGCAGACGCACACGTGGATTTCTTCCAGGGCACGATCGAAACATGGGAGAAGTTTTTGGAGGACATGCGGAAAGAGGAGGATCAAAGGAAGGCGGCCGCAGCATCGTAAATGAAGGCTCATGTGTGTCTACTCATGTCCAGGTGGTTTTTGTCCAGCTGATCCTGCTCAATTGCAGATCAGGGCTATCGGTCTTAGTATGGTGGTTTGTGTGTGATTTGGATTGTGAGCTTAGGCGTAATGAGCGACTCTGCTAGCGAGACTTTGTTCAAGCGGAGTCAGCCGCTGTTGATATGGTATCACCATTATTTTGTGCACCAAATTCTTCACAGAAGCAGTCCTCTTTATTCGGGTACATTTATAGCATGTACCATGCCACGTCGTGCCTGTTTGTTATCACAGCTAAGTGTTATGGATGAGGAAGCGAGAATTCAATGGTCAAGTCTTTCCACCCATGGTTGACATACTGTTACTCCATTTCCTCAACTCCAAATTATGACTCACTCATAGGTGCTATAAAAACTCATTATATCCTCCGCATTTCCGCCTGAACACCAGGGCTTTACACACGACTTTGAATCCTCTTGGCAATTACACGGTTGCAAAGATGAGCGTTTCTCCTATGCACACGAACGGTATGCTGCTGGCTAGAAAGATCGAAGACATAGAGGCCCGAGATATTACTTTTAAGGATTCACTCCGAAAGCTGACTTTACCTAGCCTCCCCACAGAGCCACGCGAGATGATATACCGAATTGTCGTCGAAAAATGTATCGTATAGATAGACGACTCGGGAAACGGATTTATCCACGACCGCCACCTTACAAAATTCAACAGGAACAAGCGCGCATGTAGCCTTGTGTTTGGGGGATACGAAAACGACATAATAGTGCCCCTGGTAATGTATCGCATCGCAGATCCGACAATGCTTCCAGTATGGCTTGCCCGACAGCCCGAGTACAAGACAGTCATCCACAGACTAAGTATTCGTATCACTCATCTCCGGGTTAGCCACAACTGTTCATACGGCATTCAGGCCAATAGTAATCTCTTCTTGATGCATCTACCATTTTGGCTCAGAGCCCAAAATAGGTCTCTGAAGCCAAATTTGCCAAAACTAAAGGAGATTGACGTCCTAATCCACTGTACAACAATATCCTTTGTTGGAACCTGGATAAAAGGAAAGCTTCCTACGGCGTCATGCCACGTGATGATTACTCACTGGAAGAAGGAGCTTGCAATGTAGAACCCAGGGCTCACAGTGGTGCTTCGTTGCGTGACGCTCGAACACAGTCGGTATTCCCATTAAATGACAAGATGATTTCCGCTGAGGTAGAATGAGCAAAGAGGGTGTGCAAAGGCTAGCAGTATAGACGGTGGTGGTACATGTGTGGGTATGTGGTAGTACTACTGTGTAGCGGACATACTATGTAGTAAAGGGGCGCAAGAGCCACATGACGGACCTTTCACGTGCCAGAAGCATTGGGAACTGAGCAATGACGTGCAATTTCTGGACCCCTGGCCCTGAGATCCCTGGCCCTCCGCCTACCGAGCCGACGGACCCGTCCCTTTTACAAGTTTGACCGCCGCTGAAGCCAAACGCCCACCCCAACCCACAAGAGACAGGCGGCTCCTGAAGTGCAGATTCCCCCCACCGCAGTGCATGGTCAATCGTAAACCAGTATAAATTAATCCCGCCCTGCTAACCTAAATGTCGCTGCCACTTCCTGTCACCACGCCCACTATGCCGCCGAGCAAAGGTACAAACTGCCCCCCTGGCGCGCGCCCGGCCTTTAGCCCACCGGTTTTATTTTTCTGCTAACCACCGACACGTCTGCAGAGACAAAGAAGCATGAGTGTGTCTCTGAAGATGCCCTGCAGCACCTGCGGACGTACAAATACTCGAGCGTCGACAAGTCCTTCATCTCCCGCTACATCCTAAAGCACTACGTACGCTGCGCCATGCACCCCCGCAACCTACAAGACCCGTCTGACTTTAGCGCAGTGGAATGCCTTTGTCGAACTACTGCCGCTCTGGCTCGCCCCGAACCTCGTCACACTACTCGGCTTCTGCTTCATCCTTGGAAACATTGTGCTGCTCGAGGTGTACATTCCCGATCTCGTCGGACCAGCGCCCTCATGGGTCTACTACAGCTTCGCCTTTGGCATGTGGATGTAAGCAAACACTACGTTTGCGCGCGCTCAAGCATTGCGCTAATGCTCTTGCAGGTACTCCACCATGGACAACGTCGACGGAAAGCAAGCGCGTCGCACCGGCTCGTCGAGCCCGCTGGGTGAACTGTTTGAGTATGTGAAAATGTAGCCAAACGCGCCAGACCACGTCACTGACTGTGACACATAGCCACGGCATTGATTCTTTGAACTGCACACTGGCAAGCCTCCTGGAGACTGCGGCTGTTGGATACGGCTCGACCAAGATTGGTGCCTTTACTGCCCTTATTCCTGTTCTGCCTATGTTCTTCTCGACGTGGGAGACGTACCACACGCATACCCTGTATCTGGGATACTTTAACGGACCTACGGGTGAGTCTGGATACATGCGCTCTCCTGAACATTAGCTCACGCGATACAGAGGGCCTGATTCTCGCATGCACTTTCATCTGCCTGTCCGGATACTTCGGTCCGGAGATCTGGTCGACCCCGCTTGCCAACTACTTCCCGTCCTACAAGGCGGAGATTGGCGACATCACTATCAAGGAACTCTGGGTGCCAATCCTTCTCTTCACCTTTTTCGTTGCGCACCTCCCTGAATGCATCCTCAACGTTGCGCGTGCGCGCCGAGCCAGGAACCAGCCCGTGCTTCCACTACTCAAAGAATGGACGCCCCTGATTATCTTCGTTGTCTGCACCATGGCTTGGCTGGGATCGCCATACTCGAAACTCCTCGAGGATAACCACCTGGTTCTCTACTGCCTCACCATGTCGCTAGTCTTTGGACGAATGACGACCAAGATTATCCTGGCGCATCTCACCCACCAACCGTTCCCCTACTGGACCATTATGCTGGCGCCCATGATTGGAGGAGCGTTGATTGTCAACCACCCTTACTTTACCATTCCCGGAACTACCTTTGGTCCCGTCTCTGCTAGCTTCGAGCTCTGGTACCTCCGCGCATACTTTGTTTTCGCCTTCGTTGTTTACGGAAAATGGGCGCATCTGGTCATCACGAGCATATGTGACTACCTTGGTATCAAGTGTTTTACCATCCCCGTGAAGCCCAACGAGAAGAGCCAGAGGTCCAACGGCGTTGTCGACGGCAAGGGCCGAACCGACTAGGCCTGCTTGTGACTGCTTTGACGACACCAGCGAGTAACGATTGGAGCGACGACATGTCATGTATTTACCATGCCATCCACATGCTTTGACGTCATCACCTTGTAAAGGCCAGACGTCCATTCTTCTTACTGTTGCTCTCTTTAACGATCCATGTTTTTTGTTCGAGGTCAGACCCAACTCACGAACTTTCTGGATACACACAAGTGCACCTTCGTGACTTGTTTTTTCTTGGCTGTTAGATCGTTGTTGTAATGACGGATGGAAGATAGAGGTCAAGCGCTTGGACGTTGACGACCTGCCGAATCTTCTTCTCCATCTTTTTTAGTCGTTTTTTTTGCATAGCGGGGTATTGTAGACGAGTAACTGTTTAATATTTTGATAATGGGAGAGGAAAGTCTCGGGACTCGAGCGCATTTTTTTTTGGCTCAGTGTACACGAAATACAACGCTACTGCTGCTATTACTGCATCTTCACGACATGGTCTCCTTTGATACGTGGTTCGTAGCACAGCATCACTAGCAACGCTTTCTACAAACTAGTCTCAACCCCTAGAACCCCTACCAGGCACGTCTACCTACAGTGATTGAGCTTGACTCCAATCCCGCCACGCAGCAAACAACAAAACAACAAACGCCTGTGCCTCGGGATTAACCTCTCCCAGTGGCATTTCCTCCCTTTCTCTCAGCGAATTCACAACCGGCGCCGCAACCCCCGTCCGCACATCAACATGTTCCGCCACAGCCCTCATCTTCTCCCTCGCCCACTCGGTATACTCACACCCAAACACCGCACCCGCGCCTTTCAAACCCGCAATTCTAAACACCGTCGCAGCCATCAACGCCGTCCCCGCCACCTCCACAAACGCACTCTCATCATCTAGATAATTGCGCAGCAGACGCGAGGGATGCGTGTCCACCGCTCTCGCTGCATCCAGAATACCTTTTATCATTTCAACAAGCAAGACTTGCTCTGCTTTCGTCTGCGCGGCAAAGGGAGAGTGCAGCAGGGTAGCTAGTACACGTGCCATGCCCGCTGCCGCCCACGCGTTACTCGTGCTCCACGCACCGTCATCTTGTTTCACTTTCTCCGCGGTAGTAGGGCTAAGGTTGGCAATATGGCGCCAAGAACCCGATGGTGTACCTAGGACCTCGCAGTACAATTTGCACTGGCGCACGCTTTCACAGATTAGAGATACATTGCGGTTTGATACGCCAATGTAGGCGAGGATGGGTGGCGCCATGTAGATGAAATCGGACCATAGTGAGGGGTACGCTGAGCGGTGGGATAGCGCGCCGTTTGGGAAACGCGGTGTTTCTTTTAGAAGCTGGTCGAGTTGGCGGGATAGTGCGGTGGAATAGGTAGTCCTGGTGGAAGGGGGGAGGGATGGGGAGTGAGCGAGGAGGAGGGTGGGGAGACACAGGGATGTTGGGTCTGCTGATGAGCCTGGGATTTTTTTTAACGATTTGTTTGTTTGATAATCTGCGGTTCGTATTCGTCCATTTCTCTTTTCGTGGTCGGCTTTTTTTTTGACGGTTTTACGCGAGGGTACGGAGTATGCAAGGGGGGGAAACGCACCGTTGTCTTCGCTGAGCGTTGGGGTATCGGTCCGGATCAGCGGTCTTACATAGCGTAGGGCGTCAATGTCTTGGATCTTCAGTCTTGGCGTTGCGCCGTTTGGAAACGGGTCGGGGGAGAAGACGCTGTAGGATGGGTTGCGGTATTCAAGGAGGGCTTCAAATACTGTGCTGTGTTCCCAGCTATGTGATGCGCTTTCTTGGGCTCTGGATAGTGCTTTTTCGATCACGTCTTGTGGTATCATGGCGGGTTGGGGGGTGCTACGGGCGCAGGGGTTGATTGCATCTTGAGTCGTTCAGGCAAGAACATGGTGGAAGTATAGTGGAAGCATCAGGGATTTCCGTGCATGACGTCTTGTTGTCGTACGCTTGTGCTTTCGCTTGCTACCGCTGACGGGTGACCGGGTGAGGGGTTGCATGGGTGGCGGTTCTTTTGCGCCGAAGTTGAGCCTCATATAACCTCCATACATCTGGGGCTGCGAGTGTACGATGAGAACTGCAGTGTCTTTCACTTTGTACTGCAATGTATTTCTTCCTGTTTGCGTCTTGATGCGTCCTGGAGGCTGAAAAGGTTGTTTGCGATTTGCTACGTATCAGAGCTAGAATGGTACCAAAACGAAAGCGTGGAGGAAGGTGGCTTCGGAAGGGTTGTCGGAAGAAATAACCCATGGCATGTCGAAGTGGCAGCTTTCTCCTTTGGCGCAAAGGTTGACCAAGTGGATTTGCAAACGGCGGTGCTCTAGGAATGTATCAATTTGTCCCTTTCTTGTTGCATAGTCGCCACTCAGCATATCGATATCAGCATAGTACGAGTGAGTGTAGTGGTAACTGCCGGTGTGTTGGTCTCAATCCCGAGAATGGCTGACGACTTCATAACATGGGCTGACGTTGGCGCAGCGAGGATACAGATTATATTTCTTGATTCCAATTAGGTACACGACACAGAATGCTGGATAACTCTCCACCACTGCAATCAGGTGCCGTGCTGATCGCTGGATTGCGGCAGTATTATGGGCCCGGGGTACCTACTTGACCCATGTCCGTGTTTGGGGAAACCCAGTGTAGTGGTCACTTCCAGGCCGCAACAATCTCGTATTGGATAGCATGAGAGACTTGCCTATCACTGAAATAGTTGTGCAGAGAAAATAGCCTTATGTCAAAGTGCAGACAGCTGGATAGGTTGACGTCTAGAGGACAGTGGGTCACGCCATGTGCCCATAGCGCTCTGGGGTTGGTGTCTCCACCAGGACCCGCAACGAACATGTTCTGAGCCAAGTGGTTGCGCCAGAGAGGCTTTTTTGGACGAGTATCTTTTACGTTTGCAAAACCTAGCGGTGTGATGAGTAAGAGACAACGGCATCTTTTCTTGTGGCATGAAATGATAAGGACGCAGACTTTGCAGGCACCAGTCTAAGCGAGCAAAGAGAAAACCCTGCAAGCTGTGATGGTTGCACAAGACGTATGACGCGTAGTCTGACAGCCGACTCAAGACGTTGTTATAGGAGTGCTGCCGAATACTGGCCGTCGCACAATGACACCGGGGGCCAATAAGGGTCGTAGAGCTAGCCCCCGCGATCCCCGGACGAGGCCATGAATCCGCACCCTTCTCCATGAACCACATGGATGGTCTCCAGTGTGCACACTGCCGGGCAGCATCTGGCAAACCATGGGTGGGGCACTAGCGGACACTAATTCTCATAGCGCCACCTAGCGCATATTCCAGAAGCTTGTCAGGGCTCTGGCTATGGCGAAGCTGAGCCTCAACCCCACGGCGCGCGCTTTTCTTCGGCTCAAAGCCATAAGCCCTCACTCTGCTCATGGGGCTGGGCTGAAAAATGTCTTCACACACCACGCCTTGAACAGTGCCCAGCGCCCAGCAAAGACAGAGCCGAGAAAATGCGAGACGCACGACCAGGGCGTTATCACGCCAGGCTTGCTCTGTGTGGCATCCTTCACAGCACGCCAAGGTCATTTCCCCCGCCTTTTCATCGGTAGTTTGCCATTACCTAACGACAATTGGTTCTCCAGAGTCGCCTAGTTATGCATGCCTCTGCGCCGCCAACGCTACAGGATCGTCCCATACCATGGATGCCCTCTTGGAACCCCAACCTGGGTAAGTAGAGTACCCTTTCCTCCCGTCTCGGCCCATTTCACCATGTTGGAAATCTCTGCCTGAACAGCTCGCTCGCGCGCCACCCCGCCTTGCGCTTGTCGTGACGCCGTATCTTGTAGTACACTATATAATAGCCTACCATCTCCCGACTTACACTGGCCAAGTTTGGTACCGGCGAGTCCGTCACTTTACTCTCCAACCACTCCAATCATGCCGAACCACTACATGGCTGATGAAAAGCCTGAGTCGGCCCCCTATGGCTACGAGGAGAATAATGTTGGCTTCGAGGAGCCTATTGTCCATGGCGCTGCTACTGTTGGCGGCGAGACGGGGCGAGGAGGAGACACACACCGTGGGTTGAAGTCTAGGCATATTCAGTTTCTGTAAGTATGCGCATGTCCATCTTGAAAACAGTCTGGATGCTCATGACTATGCAGTGCCCTTGGTGGTGCCATTGGTACTGGTCTCTTCATCGGGTCTGGCTCTATTCTCGCTCTCGTCGGCCCCGCACCTTTGTTCATGGCCTACCTGAGCATGATGCTCGTTGTTTACAACGTCATGAATAACTTGGCCGAAATCGTCACCTTTTTACCAATGCGCGGAATCACGATCCCATACTTCGTCAAACGATTCGTCGACCCCAGCTTAGCTTTTGCCGCGGGATGGAATTACTGGTATGCGTACGCTATTCTTGTTGCCGCAGAGGCCACGGCTGGAGCCATTCTGCTCGACTACTGGCAAACTCCCGTTCACAATGCTGTGTGGATCACTATTTTCCTGATTGTGGTCCTCTTCCTTAACATCATTGCCGTCGAGCTTTTTGGAGAAGCCGAGTTCTGGTTTGCCTCTATCAAGTTTATAACCATCATCGGCCTCGTTATCCTGGGTTTCGTCATTATGCTTGGTGGAAGTCCAAATGATCAAGGCCGTCTGGGTTTTAGATACTGGAACAATCCCGGAGCTTTCAAGCCATACATCGTAGATGGACATGCTGGAAATTTCCTTGCATACTGGACTGCCTTTGTCCGGGCTGGCTTCGCCTTCATCACCTCGCCTGAACTGATCGCCCTTGCTGCTGGAGAGACCATTGCTCCTCGCCGCAACATCCCCAAGGCCGCGGGTCGCTTTGTTTACCGTTTGGCCATCTTCTACGGTCTTGGATCTTTCATCATCGGTGTCATTGTCCCCTCAGACGACGACCGTCTCCTCAGCGGTAGCTCCAACGCCTCAGCGTCTCCCTTCGTCATCGGCATCCAAAGAGCCGGCATCGCAGGCTTGAACCACGTTGTCAACGCCGCCGTCCTGACATCCGCCTGGTCCGCCGGCAACGCCTTCCTCTTCTCCGGCTCGCGCGTCCTCTATGGCATGGCCCTCAACGGCGAAGCCCCCAAGATCTTCGGCCGAACCAGCAAAAAAGGCGTCCCATACGTCGCCGTCCTCGCTACCTGGGTAATCGGTCTCCTTGCCTACCTCAACGTCTCCAACACCGGCGCCCAAGTCTTCCTCTGGTTCTCCAACATCTCCACCATTTCCGGCTTCATCGCCTGGATCGTCGTCATGATCACCTACATCCGCTTCCGCAAAGCTATGATCTTCAACGGCGTTCTTCATACCCTGCCTTACCGCACACTGTTCCAGCCATACCTCACTTACTTTACCCTCTTCGTCATCTCGCTGCTCACCCTCACCAACGGCTTTCAGGTCTTTGTGCCGGCGAATTGGGACGTTTCCGACTTCCTCGCCGCATATATTACCCTGCCCATTTTCCTCATCCTCTATTTTGGCCACAAGATTGCGACTAGGACTCGGTTTGCAATACCCGTCCAAAGTATCGATGTCACGACTGGAGTCCGGGAAATGAATGAGCTGTGCAAGGATGATATTTCGGGGGCGCCCGTACCGAAGAATATCTGGCAGAAGATTTGGTTCTGGCTTGCTTAGAGTGGCAGGTTCATGCCAATATTGTTTTTGCTATTTAACGCGTATATGATGATGATGATGATGATGATGATGATATTTTACGTAGTATAGATGAATTACTCAGTAAATAGGCTATGTTCAATTTGAGCCGCTCGGCCCTATCTCGATGTGCTTTTCTTGTAAAAACGATGTTCATGAATCATGATTAACTCCCATGCCAAGTTTTAAATCTTGCCCTGAGTAGTACAATGCACATCTCATCTATCGGAGAAAAACCACGCCTATACCTCCCCATCTATGTCACAAAAGCTCACTAATAATTCCAGCCACCCTTACACCCTCTCATTACCCCTCACCCCACCACCACTACCCTCTCTCGCCACCTCCACCTCCACCACCGGCCCACGATACACTTTCCTCGCCCAAACCACATAATACACAACGCTCATTCCCGCAATCACACTGGTAACCAGCACCGCCCAATTCATATTCTGCACCGTAACCTGGGCGAAGCTAGGCCAAAAACTAAAGAAGAGCACAAAACACAGATAGGCGCATGCAAACGCATTGTTTACGATGCCGAGAGCGGCGGGGAGACGCCAGGGGCCCCATACTGCATGTACTTTTGAGTTTTGATTGAGCGGCGATGATGGCAGTGCGATGGTAGGATCCATATAGGAGACGACACCGCCTGTGCAACGGCGGTAGAGTAGCAAGGTACAAGTAAGGAGGTACGAGGAGAAGAGGCCGGCGATGGCGACGGAGATGATGCCGTTGAAGGCGGTGGTGGAGCCGATGTTGATGAGGGCGAGGAGGCAAGCAGTTATGTTTGTGAAGAGGACGGCGGAGACGGGGATTTGGGTTCTGGAGCTGACCTGTAATGTGTAAGCTTGTCGGCAATCTGGGAACAGAGAAAATGAGGGGTGTCTACCTTGCTTAGTGTTTTCCAGCCTGGTAACCCTTTGTCTCGGGCGAAGGCCCAGCAGATGCGGGACGTGGAGGCTGAGAGACCGACGCCTGCGCCGATGGTTAGAACCATGACTAGTGAAGCCATTACGGCAGCGCCAGATCGCGATTGTACTGCGCGGTGGAAGATGGCCATGAACGGGAACGCGGGGTTTTCAGCGAGGACGGAAGAAAGATCGCCCATGCGGAAGAGGACAGCGAGGAGCATGCCGAAACCGAGGGTGCCGTTCATAGCGATACCAATCA